TGTGTGTGTGTGTGTGTGTGTGTGTGTGTGTGTGTGTGTGTGTGTGTGTGTGTGTGTGTGTGTGTGTGTGTGTGTGTGTGTGTGTGTGTGTGTGTGTGTGTGTGTGTGTGTGTGTGTGTGTGTGTGTGTGTGTGTGTGTGTGTGTGTGTGTGTGTGTGTGTGTGTGTGTGTGTGTGTGTGGTGTGTGTGTGTGTGTGTGTGTGTGTGTGTGTGTGTGTGTGTGTGTGTGTGTGTGTGTGTGTGTGTGTGTGTGTGTGTGTGTGTGTGTGTGGTGTGTGTAGGTAGAAATATATATAATCAGAGGCAAACCTTCAGTCCAACTTACTTATCTGGAAAAAAGAATCTGAGAAGGGAGGGATGACCATTTGTATATCCAAAACTAAAACCATGGCGATCTCATGAGAGGAGAAAAAATACTAGATCATGGTGGGACAGTATGCATTGGAGCAGGTCAGCCAGTTCAAATACCTTCGAAACGGAGACATTAAGACTGAGTTGGCTACACGAAAATAGTTGCTGTGAGACTCCTCCAGATCATTAACTGAGGGTTTCTAGCAAAAGAGAAATTGGCAAGAGGGCGAAAATGGCTGTTTACCGCTCTACCTATGTGCCAGTCCTGACCTACGGGTGTCATGGGTAATAACCACAGCTCACAGAAACCAGCTTCATGCCTCAGAAATGAGATATCCGAGAAAGATGGTCAAAGTGACAAGAGGGGACAAAGCCTTCAATCAGACAGTAGGTCAAGATCTTGAGACCCAGGTTTTACAAACCCGAATGGATTAGTCACAGTTACGATTTTGTGGACATGCATGTAGAATGGGAGAAAATCGGCCACAATGGCAGGCATGGGGGGGGGGGGGGGGGGGGGGGGGGGGGGGGGGGGGGGGGGGGGGGCTAAGAACCAGGGAACCATACCTTCAGGGTCCGCTGGGAAGACAAAATCCGACAGTCCCTAACCGACAGAGGACAGGAATGGAACAAATCTAGAAAGAAAACTGCTGACAGATAGTCTGGTGATCTATCTGGCAAAGCTCTACAACCCAAGGTAGACGAGAAGTGACTAAGTAAGTAACTATAAACAAATATATCAGCAATGGCAGGAATAACCAGGTATGCCTCATACACACAACTGGTGTGTCCCTCGCGCATCCCAGAATGGTTCGCATAGTCTCATTTTGTGTACCTTCCAATTTCTGATTCTGGTCTTTTTTACGACTAGCTTCCCATTCAATGCCTGAAATAACAAGGCACTTACTGAGTGAACATTACTGTACATAATAACATTAATTGTTCTATGCTAACAGCAGCTATAACTTCTAGGGCATTAAATCCTCTCTCCCCCGTGTGGGTTCCGGGGCCCTGTTGTGGGGAAAACAAGAATAGACCCTCTGCCATCCCAAAAGGCATGTCGTAAGAGTCGACTAATTGGGGAGCTTCCTTTGAAGTCGGAGTGCATCTGCCTGAGAGGCAAGGAACCAGCAGTCTACATTCAATTGAATTAGATCTGTAAAACTGATGCACACGCAGCACTCAGGTTCTGGAGCAGGACTGCAGTCCAGAAGTGGACGAACAACCAGAACTTTACGCCAGAGTGTACAGCTGGTGAACGCGAAGAAGAAGAAGAAATCCTCTCTCTGTTCTTAAAAAGACTGCATCGACATGGCCCTAAAATCCTCTGTCAAACGTAATTCCTATACATTTTTGTCTTTCATTTTAGCCGCTTATAAATTTATTGTGGTCTTGGGGACATCTGTTTTGGTTGTCCAAAGAACACCATAATGTTGAGCTCTTACGATGTGGCACTCTGCACACAGTAGCTGGTCGACATTACCGAATTTCGACTTTACCTGGTTGGTTCTCCCATCCAGTTTTCCATTGTGGGATGGAATCCCAGCCTTCATCTTGATAACTGGATAAAACATGGGTCCACTATATGAAGGTGAGTTAGGATTGAGCAAAAGAAGCTAAGATATATTAAGAGCTTGTACTGCGCATCACTGCTGCGTGGATAACAATGTGTTTCAAAACAGTGCATGCGACATGATTGTTGTAAGTAAAATTATCGTTTTTCTTTAATACAAATTAAATTACTGAACCATAGCCTCGAGTTTATTTTCGTTGGTGACTTGAGAGTTATATTTAGAAAAATGGCCCCTCACACGTCGTCCCGGAAGTGCTCCTGGTCGACAAAAATCCCGCGAAGTGCTGATTGGAAAGGATCGCCTTTTTCCACTGGAGTAAATAGTGGCTATATTTGGACTTTTTATTTAAACCTCGTCATCTGTAATTATTAATTATTTCGTGCACACATAGGCCGAGAATAGTGTTGCTTTATTTTTCTTGTAAACGTATCCAAAATGTATTTATGAATGAAAATTATGTTATTTCATATTTTCAATTCAGATCAACTGATCATCCAGACAGTCCCGGCGAAAAAATATAATACAGTACTGTGTATAATCTGAATACTGAGTTTCAGTTAGCAGTGCACTGAATAATTGACAATACAATATAATTGTACAGGTAGTTTTGAAAGTGCCGCTAGTACTTTACTACTTACCATACATTAACGGAATGAGGCACAACACATTAGACATTAGTTACTTCGATTATCATATTTATTATTAATATTATGATTAGTTGTCATTGTCTCTAACAAACATTGCATGCTTTTTTTATAGGATCATTGGTCTTAGGCAAATAATAATACAATACATTTATACATTTCGGTCGTTAATAAATTTACATTTTAGGACTTTAGGCCCAAGTTTTTGAAAATATAATATTCATTATTTAATTTTCTTTCCTAACCAAAATAATTAATCACATACTTTTTGTGACTTCGAAGTAAAATTTAAATTGTGATCTTCTTGTTTAGTAATATTAATAAATTTGCTGTACTTCTACTCTTCATATTTACTAAATAATTTAGCACTGCAATATCATTCAATATAAATATCAGCCCTTGTTAAGCCAGTTAAGGCTCAGTAGTAAGTTGTTTTTTCTAGTAACATGGACATGAAGTAATTTCATTTAAGATTATTGGACTTTTATTTCATTCATTTTCATCCAGTTCATTAATATTTCCGCTCTCCTTTCAACTACGGCCGGTAGACAACAACAGTAGACGGCCGTTTAGTCGAAGTTCTGTCCCTTGTGGCTGCAGTGCTATTACGGACTGGACAGGAGGAAACGAAACAAATGACATAATTACTGTGTGTTGCTATTATAATCATATGGTTCGGGTTAGGGGTTGGGTTAGGGTTACGGTTAGTGTCGCCACATCTCGTCTTCGCACAAAAAAGTAGCAACGCTAACCCTAAACCTAACCCAAACCCTAACCGTATGATGACAGTAGGGCACTGCACGCTGTCTATCGCCAACACACAGTAATTATGTCACTTGTTTCGTACCTCTAATCCACTCCGTAATACGTCGCAAGAAGCGGTAATTGAGTCGCAGCGCGGGATCTGCCAGGCATGCCGACCTCACTTTGTTTTCTTATTCGTGCCTTCTCCAGTCCGTAATTGCACTGCAGCCAGGGGACAGAACTCCGACTAACCGGCCGTCTACTGTTGTCTACCCGCCGTAGTTGAAAGGAGAGCCAAAATTTCTAACATTCAGTCACCGTGGACTGCGGGTGGTTATGATTATTTTGGCCCCAGACAGATAAATCTATCACTTTAAAAAAAAAAAAAAAACTTGACTTCTATTATCGACATGCCTGAGAAAATCTTTTCATAGGAATAGAAAGTCTGTGAGATGGTAATGCTTCAGACTGGAATAGAATAACCACATCCTACCTTAAGTATAATTCTTTGGTTCCCAACAGGGAATTTCCCTGCGGCTGACTAGGGCTCTAAGCCATGAGTTGAAGAACACAGTTGTGAGTGATGGAGCCCACATTAGTGTGCCATGTGATATTAGTATATAGAACATGAAATCCTTAGCAATTTCATTCCCAGACATGGCATTGGCTCTTCCCATTGAACCACAACCATTGCCTATGTTTGCTTACTGTTTAAATACTTTATGTCACAGACAACGCATGATATGTGGTTAGATATTTGTCTTGTGTGCCAGACACCATATTACATGTTTTTGTTTTTGCATCTTATGTTTGGGTAGTCAATCTAAAGAACTCAGAGTATTTAATTCCTACAAGACTGGGTCCTTGTAGGGTTTGCTGACACAAACTGAAGGTGGTGTGCAGAAGGGGTTCAACCCCCCTCACAAATTTTCTTGAGGGAAGTGGGGGGGGGGGGGGGGGGCAAAGGGGCCTGATCTTTCTTTAAGTATTTTATATATATATATATATATATGTATATATTGTGTGTTTAAAATGGCGAGTAATTAAAATTTGAAACATTAAAAAAAATACTTCTAAAAAAATAACCTTAATACGTGGCTTTTTGAGGGGGTGAGGGTGGTCTCAAAGGACCTGATCTTCAGGTCCTGGCACCAGAAGGCCTTTATTGTAGTAGTACACTTATGCATTTTTATGTATTTGTTGCTTCACATATAGCCTCGGAACTCACACAGGGAAATTATACATCGATTTTTCTAAGATAGTGACATAGAAAATTTGATTTCATGGCAAAAAAGAACTGTAAAAAAAAATGTGATTGAAAATAGGAAGAAAAGAAAAATACTTAGCACTATTAACAATATACACAAGAACTTGAAGAAATGGTTTCACATGAGTCAAAATGTGATTTTTAACCGTAGATGTATAGACTGCTTATGAAAACGTCCTTTTTTGTTTTGTTTTATAGTTTTTAAAAAAAAACGATATTTGTAATTGAACTGAAAAAGAAAGCTAGTATAACAGAAAATTACAAGACAAATGCACTCAGTTTCAAAATTGCTTGACGCAGCCTTTGAATTTCCCTGTGATACCCATAATGAAAACTACTGTTCTACGTGGATCTTAGAAATGTTACAAAACCATTATAACTGTTAAATAGATACAAACATTCTTTTGAACAGCACATCAGATGAAAAAGATGGTTGTCAAGGAAGTCATAGATATTTTGAAAAGCAGAAATAGAGGACAAGCAGACAAAGAGGCAGCATATGAAAACCTTGTGAGGTATGTGTCTGATGAGGCAAGACTGGATTGTTATTTTCTGTTGTTTATTGTTATTTGTGAAGAACCCCGGTTCATAGTCCTAAATGCTCAGCTTATCGCCCTCATTTAAAAAAAAATATCTGAACAAGCACAAGTCTAAGAGTTGAATTGAATTCACGATAGTGAAATAACCTTTCTTTGTTTCTAATCTGTTCTGTTTAAAAATACATTACAACTGATTTCATCTTTAAGTATATCTTTCTCTCTTATATCAGCTACTTAACACCAGTAATAGGGCTCATGTGATAGCCATCATATGACCCCTGTCGGAGCCTGGCATTGGGGGTGTCGACTTTTCTTGTTTTTGTTATCTTAGCTGATATTAGCTTGTAGCTTATTATCGTGGTTTTCTGTATTTGTCTTGTGCTCCTCGTGTGGCTAGGCTGGTGGATTTGTTAATATTTTTACAGGTTACTGCTACACTGTTTACCCATCTCTTTGTCTTCCGCTTGCCTGCCTCCCAGATGTTCTGCTGTAAAAAGTCTCATCTAGGCTGCATTCTCACTAGATGGCGGAACCATTTCATTCTTTGTCAATATGATTCAGACACGGTCTTATTCTAGCTTTGTCTCTAATGCTAGTATTCGTAACTCTGTCCCTTTTTGTGTTGTCAGTGACCTTACGGAAATAGCATATTTCACAGGTAGTTTTTTTCTCTTCTAATGCCCTGTTCATTGTCTACATTTGGCACTTTTCTAAAACATGAAATTCGAGGTTACCGGAAACCATGTTTTGTCTGGTCTCTCATGAGACATGATCCCCTTCACCCTGTCATCTAGTCTATTATTTCATACCCTTCCTTGTAGTCATCAGGTAATCTTAGTTTCAGCTTCATAGAAAAATGGCCACCCCATAGTTGCTCGGCTCCTGTACTAATGAAAAACACACAGAATGTACATCACTGTCCCTTGCAAAAAATTTGACCCAGACTCGTTTCAGCATATCCACTAGCATAAACACACATTTAAAGCATAAGGCAGCCACCAGAATTGCTAACACAAACAGTCCCACATTAGAAATGCAGCTCATCATCGACGAAAGCAATGGTCATTAGTTGTCATGTAGCATTCATTCCTCCCCAAAACAGAGCCCCGGAACCCATACAGGGAATAATGCTACTCTAAATCAAGGCTATTCAACTGGCAGCCCATGGACCAAATCTGGCCAAGGAGGCCTAACAAGTGCCCCATGGAATCATTGCCAGTTTTACTGTATTAATGTTCATTCTATGCTGGGGCTTGACCTCTGGTATGTGACTATCCCCATTTTGAACATTTTGGCCCCTGAGTTGACTTTTGTTAAAAAGCCCTGCTCTAAACTATCTCTTTGTAATGTCATTCTTTGAAGAAGAAAAAAAAAATTGGTAAATAGTTACACCTATTTTCAATATGACGATGAGGATTTTTTAACAATTTGCATTGTATGGTGACAAATATCAACTATAAAATGATTGCTAACAAACAGTTTTAATAAATTACTTTTTAGAATTGGTCAAGTACGTGTTGTGTTGCGCAGATTTAAACAGCAAATTTGTGACAAAACTTGTGGGGTTGGGGGGGGGGGGGGGGGTGGGCATAGCTCTTGGTGTTTAGCTGTTCTAGTGTTTTGTTCATGAGTGCAGTTTTTTTGGAGATACACTTTAAACCTTTCCTCTAGCTCTTGGGGTTATGAAGACACATTTTTTACGCCACTGGCACACCAGGCAAATGAAGCTAGGCTGATTTTATAGAGCAACCAGCACTTGATTTCCCCTTGACTTTCAAGAGCATTACCTGGTACCATCTTTAGGCCGGACCAACTAGGAGCCGCGATCACTTAAAAAAACCAACATTTGCCATTGATTAGGATTGAACCTAAGACCTTTCAACTGACAAATGAGCGCCCATCCACTATTCTGCTTCAGCTCACTAATGCATGCACGAATAAGATAAATAGTTATTGTGGTGTGTTAAATTTTAATTTTAAATCTGCTGAAACCAAATTTATAAAGGTGTTATCAGTAAATTTATATTGTTCACAGTAACCTGAAGAATGAATCTGCATTTGAAGAGCAGTTGCGGGCTCACAAGACTGAACTGCTGAGAGTGCTGATTCAAGACATACAAGATGGGGAAGAAACTGTTACTCATAACGCCTTGCAAGTTCTTCACTTTTGTCTTCAGAATGGACGTTGTGAAAGGTAATTGTAATTTTATACCTGATTGTGCAGGTAATATTACTTTTTGTCTGTGCCGCAAATATAATTTTTTTTTAACGTTCAGCGGCTGAAAACTTCGGCAGAAAGTTCTAGTTGTTCATCCTCTTCTGGACTTTAGTCCTGGGCTATTCGATGCAGTTCCAATGCTATGCCATGTTCTTTTGTTTGGTTGGATGAGAGTATGTTTAATACATAGAAGGATAGATCCAAAAATGAATCTTCAGCTATCCTCTGTATAACTGTCCCAAATTATCGGGGCCGAAAATATACCCTAACAGGGCCTTAGTCACGTGTCTATTGCGGACTTCCGGGCACTATACCGCCGCCGCCGAATTGCAGACTTCCTGGGACTATACCGCGACCGCCGAGAGTATCTCCCACGCCGCTACGAGCAGCGTGAATTGGGGCTAAACTAGATGGCTGGGACTCACAAGCAAATTAAAATGAAGGAAACTGCAGGAGATGCGGTAGCTGCTGCTCATGAGTCCCAGCCATCTAGTTTAGCCCCAATCCACACCGCGCATATCGGCATAGGAGATACTCGGCGGTGCCGGAAGTCCGCAATTGACACGTGACTGAGGCCATGTTAGAGTATATTTTCGGCCTCGATAATTTGGAACCGTTATTCAGAGAATAGCCGAATCTTCTGATGACTTTATTGATTTTCTTTATTTTTTATGGAGGATCTAGGACCGTAGCTAAAATATATGATCTTTGATATGATAAAAGTGTTGATTATCTCACTTCTCGTGAATACGTATACTAATACAAATATGTCGAGCTTCCTTTGAAGTCTGAGTACACTGCCTGAGAGGCAAGTCACCAACAGTCTGCATGCAGATGAGTCAGACCTGTGAAACAGGTGTACACACACAGCTCAGTTTCTGGAATAGGACTAGAGTCCAGAAGTGGACGAACAACCAGAACTCTCCACTAGAGTTTACAGCCAATGAATGCAAAGAAGAAGAAGAATTAAGATCCCCACCTGGCAAAGTTCTTAAACTCACAGCTAGCAGTCTATAATTATCTCCATTGTCTAATGGATTACATTGCTTTGCCTTGTAAACAATTAATCTATTTGTCATATTTTCAGCCTCTCCAAGTCAGAGTCAGAATCTGCACTGAAATCATTAATTCAGTGCGGTAGCAAAGCATCCTCTGTCGACATAATTAAACAGATTTTTGACTGCTTATCTGTTGAGACTTTTCATCAAGACGTTCTGATAAATGAGGTAAAAGAGTAATTATTTTGTGTTGTCACATTTTCATTAGATTAACTCTTTAAGTACCAACAATGCACCATACTTTTCTGGATATTACTAATGTGCACTAGTCACATAGTATGTGTTTATAAATCTTGAGTTTAGCCAGGACTTACTTGAGTAGTGAAACTACACGTATATCTCCTATATGTGATGTGTATTTGGCCCCTATGGATATAGTACATCCTGTAATTTTATTATTGCCTCACTCTGACATCAACTGTGACCTTTGGGACTGAAAAAGTTAATCCTTTATTTGGACATGCAACAGTTTGTTTTGTTTGTGCTTGAAAAAAAAGTAGACAGGGGTACGTCCTTGCAATGATGTGTATATATGTGATTTTACATTTTTTTGTTTTTGAGTAAGTCACAACTTTGTAAAGACCTTTTTAGTAGAAATGGACATAATTGATTTGAACAATGATCAGAAACAATGGGCAAGGTGGTTAGTAATTTGATTTAACAATGAAAACTCAAACAGTGGGTAAGGAACTTAATGCTTGATTAAACAATGACAACTGAACTTAATGTCCAGGTTCCTAGAGAAGTTATCTAGCTCAGGACAGCCCTTATATTTAAGTAACCTACAATAAACTGATGGCTAGTGATAACGATTATTTGTCATTATTTCTGAATCTTATGAAAATTTGGAAAATTAGGCCATAAATTCCATAAAATCATTTGTAAAAAAAAAAAGTTGAAGGATCCTTTTCAGGCCAATATCGCATCAGGCATATGGCACTGGACTCTTATTTTTATTGATAATCAGCATTACTGAGGTGTGCCGGCAACATCACCTTTACTTCCCGGGACTTTTCTTCATACTCATTTAATGCTGAATAAACATGCAAGCCTAGATCAGTTTAAAACCCAAGATCACTGTTCTGTAGCATCTCTCTGCATAATTAACTCTTCGACCCTGTGATGGCACTAATCCAGTATCACCATTGATTACAAATTCCTGTAAATGCAAAAAAAAAACCAGCATTGTTTTCGTTGACCTGGCCCTGAGAAGCCTAGTTAATGGCATTGGTTCTGTTTGTGCCTTTGCAGGTTTTAGAAGGGCTGGATTTGATTATATTTACTAAAAATAGCTTTTGGTGTATGGTGGGTTATTGTGAGAAAAAAAAAAGGCGTTTTAAACAATTATGATTTCATAATTTGCCTTTACGCTTGGTGATAACATAATGATGAGGTCAAAGGGTCACTTGGTACATTTTCTTAGGCCTAAAAGAATGGAGTCATTTAATTCATTCTTACATACATGATTATTGTTCTTTGTATATTTCAGGAAAAATGTAAATAAATAAAAATACAAATGTTTAATTAGTGATGTGTAACGGTTGTTTCTCTTAAAGGATGGGAAGGGGGGTGGGGGGTTTCCCCTCAGAGGGTTTGCAGGGTGAAAGGGTAATAGAGGGGGAAACATGTGTCCATTGGTAGAGAAGAGTCTGTTAGATACACATATTCAATGTAATACACTAGCCTTGAAACAGGAAGAAAGAAGAAAAACTAGGTTTCATACAATTAACAAGTAGGCTGTATGGTATAGAGTATATAAAATAATATAAATAGGCACATGCTTGCTGCTGTGTAATTTTACCTGGCTGATAAGCCAGTTTAAGTTTTTTTCTTAATGGAAACAATAGTAAAGCTAACATAGTTGTATCTCAGTCTGTGATTGTGGAGACAAGCAATAAAATGTCATCAGATAAAATGAAGTCATAAATTAACAGTTCTGATGGGTTAATTTTTAATTCACAGATTTCCTCTCTGTTGGACTTTACTGAAGAAATGAATTCTAAAGCCAAAGCCAAATCCGTCTCCATTTTGGACAAAATAGTCAACTTTTTTGTCAGGTAAATGAGCTAAGATATTTATATTTTGTATACTCCTGTACATGAAAGTAAATACGACTAAAACTGATGTAATGCAGGTCAAATATAATTTCCAGTCCTGTATATGTAGTGTTGAATGGTACTTGTCTGAAGCAAGTTAACTTTTTCGCACCGTTAATCCTGAGATCATGGCTTGTCTTTTTAAAATTGTTTTATGGCAGGTAAGTAGGTGGGTATTTGTACCCCACTAGGACATCACACAAGCGATAAACACCAGGTGACAAAAAGTGCCATTATGCGGGATTACCGTGGAGAGGTCCTAAAAATCCATTTCAGCCGTTAGGCCATATCTATGGCTAGGCTGTATCTGTGCCCCGGCTATATTAAGGGCCCCTGGTAGAAGCCAAGGTGGGGCTTCAAACAAAAAAATTGCATCTCACATAGTGACAACGGATTGCTAGTATTTTTTTTTTTAATGGCATGTTGTCTTTGGGCACTGGTAACTACGCCCGTGTAAAAGTTTTAGTGCTGGTTGTCTTCTTCTTCTTTCGTTCGCCTGAAATAAGTTATCTATATCAGCAGTGCTGGTTGTAACTGCATAGTGTGTAGACATGTTAAAAAAAAGTTTTTAATATTGCTGCATTATAATAAACTTATGATCTTATATAATCAGACATGGCTATCTAGACAAAGCCAATAATTTCTTTGTCAAGAGGAGTGAAAGCAAATAGTTCTTTGCACAGTTTGTATTTAGTGCTTATCTCCCTTGCTGGATCACTGGTTTTTTTTTTTCTTTTAGTTTGAAAATTACAGATTATATTTTTAGGTTAGCATCTCCGTCTTAATTATATTATAAGGATATGTTTTTAATAGAATTTTGAAAAAGATTATTAAAAAATATTTTTATGGATTTAAAAGGTAAAATTAGGAATTATTCTTGGAGGACGTTAAAATAGATCTATAGTCAGAAACAAGATATCAAAATGCTAGAGCACTTGTATACCAACTGACAATATTTATTAAGACATTCAAACAGTGGTTAGAGAGATATGATACCATCAGACATACCGTGGGAACAACACTTTTCAAAACTTCATAGAGACTCCTTTGATCAAATGGTTCTGTCATCTCGTTAAAATGCAACCACCCCTACCGCCAAGACCTGTGTTGCTCCTAAGAAGATCTGATGTGAAAGCAAGAGGGCAACTAAGGATATGAACTGATGACATTAAAGACATTCTACATCAGCGGTTCTCAGCCTGTGGGTCGCGACCTTTTTTGGGCCGAACAACCCTTTCACAAGGATCACCCAAGACCATCAGAAAACACATTTTCGTTGAAGTTATGAAGGAAAATAATCCACACAAAATGACAATAACTAGTGCTGCCCATTGAACAGTGGACCCCAGACTGTTTCCTTCTCACGACACTTAATGGCAGAAGTGGAAATTGATGATGAGGATGATGATGATTGTTCTGAAATGTTTGAATTGCATAAGCATTGTTTCGTGCCTTTGTTGAGTCTGTAATAAATGTTGAAAGAATTAAAACTGTTATGATTATGTTTCGTGATATAATTTGATTGATAATGATAAAGCATGTCTCAGAAGAATTGTATGTCTCTGGCTTGAAACATACAGGTCTCATATCCAACTGCTGGACAATTTTTGTTTTATTTTGAAGAACTACAGACACTCTGGGCTCCATAATGCATGAGCAGTGAATGATTGTCTGTCCTTTGCTATGGACCCACCCCCAACCCGAAAAAAAAGTAAAAAGTCTTGAGCGCACATTTTGCCTGTAAAAGTCCCGGCAACTGCAGGGTAACTGCAGATTATAAGCTCAGTAAGTCTTTACTCTGAGTTAAAAATAAAAAATAAAAACTTGCCAACAGTATATTCATTAGCATACTTGAAGAAATGATTGATGTTTTAGCGTAGATCTCTAACCCTTAGAAATGAGTGCCTGTTCCATGATGTTACCCCTGTGACTGTGTTAGGTTTTTAACTAAATTGGATTTATAATATTACCATTTGTATGAATCAGTAACCATTTGTGACTTACTTATTGGCTTCCCCTCGTAGTAGTTTCTAAATTGGGCATATTCTTTTGTTTATAATTCTTTGGCCGCTGTAAATTTATGTTGTAGAATTGAGAAACAAATCGGAAAGAGCCTCAAACCGTCTTCACCTCGCTGGGCACGACTTGTCTTCCCAGGACTTGTTAATGTGTCACAAGAAGTCAGGGAAGATTCTTTGACTCTTCTGGAGAAGTTCAGGGTTGAACTGAGCAATGCACAAGATTTGAGCAAGCATGTCATTAAGGCTATCAGTGCTGTAAGTTGTAAAGTAAAATTGTTTCTTTGCTGCTGTGTTTTCTTGTTTAGTGATGTCTTGGAAGAAACTGACTTATGAAGAGACCTGATTGCCCACATCAGGAGACAATCAACATTCTTTGGTCATGTGATGAGAAGGAGAAAACGAGTATATTGTGATGATAGGAAAGTTGGAGAGAAAAGAGGTGGAGGCAGGCTTAGAGAGAAGATGCTGGACAGTTTGACATCATGGCATTGGAGATTATCTGTGTCAGAATTGAGTGAAAGTACAGGAGACAGAAGGTTGTCGATGTACATGACTACCAACGCCACATGGCATGGACAACAAGAAGTAATGGTAGATCTGATGTTGGTGATTTTAAATTGAGCTGACCTGTATTTAAAATTAAATCTGTGTTTTATTATTTGAAATACCTTACTTTATTTGTGTGTGTTCTTTGTATTAAATAGAGCAATGTGGTGTGAAGAATATTTGAAAGCTCCAAGTTTTACATCAGCCAAAACAGAATGGTCATCGTCTGAGTAAACTTACTTTAAAAATGTGCCTGTGAGATGATTGAAACACTCATGGATATACTTAATGAGCTATAAAGATGATTCAGTAATGAACAGTTACATATAAACTTATGGTTTATAACCGTGTGCAATGACGCTGGTTCACATCTCCTGACTTAAATCTTTTTTTTTTTAAAAAAAGATACATAGTTTAGAACTGAAAAATAAACTAAAAGTTGTCATTCTTAGTGATACTTTTTAAGCTATCTAGTATTGATGTTAGTTTATGCTTTCCGTAACTAACAATTGTTATTTTACAGGGTCTTGCAAAATCGTTGAAAGCGCTAATGGCAACACATGAAGCATATGTTTTAAGAGTTTGGCCTCTGATTGTGCAGGTAGCTGGCAAGGTAAGAAAAACAAAACTTTATGTGGTTACATATTTAAAAAAAAAAAGGTAAGACATTAACTTTTTAAATTTTAACATAAACAAGCTGTTGTTGAGGTGTGAAACGCTGGGCTTGATGTCGTCAACATATAGCAAGCCAAGCATGGCACATGGAACAGTTTTTGACCGATTTGAAGTGCAGTATAAGAATAAATCCAGAAATTAAATAGAACACTGCATGTGTTTAAACAAATTAATTTTATTGCAGTTTTCATGCTTCTGCAGGTTATAAAATATATATAATAACAGGCAGATATTCTTCCAAATAAATCTTGTACTGATCAGATAACTACACTACATGCGATAATAGAGCAGCTATATTGTTTTTGTATATTATGAAAAAACCTTTTGCGACATTGTTATGGAGTCAGTCTGGAAATTAATGAGGCACCATGGTATCCAACAGCTATTTTTACTTGAAATAGGCTGGATTATAAGAAAACGGCAACAGCTACTAACAGAAATGAAATTCTGTGGATCCCTGCAAAGTGACCTGGACTTCACTGATGACGTTGCTTTTCTATTCCACTCACGGAGCCAGATGCAAGATAAATTAAACGTACTTGATGAGAAATCACAACAATTACATCTAAAAAATCCACATGGGAAAGACAAAGATAATGAGAATAAACCAGGCAAAACAGTAATTAATTTTTCTCGTGGTAATATACAACTTCAGGGTGTGGAGTCAGAAGATGGGGAAACTGATAGATATATTAAAATAAGAATATAAAAAAGCCCTTTCTGTTGTCCAAGTTCAGGTTTCTTTAGGTTGATCTGCAACAGTGGATTAAAAATCTGGATTTCCATGTTGACTCAGTCTAAATTGCTACTAGGAATTGTCTTTTGGTGACTGGCATTGTGTACCATGAGTGCCAGTTGGTCTATAGAAATATGGTACCAGACCCTCGAGTTGGAGAGGACTTCTTTAATCCACTAACACCAAGTTTTGCTTTGAAAAACTTCTAATAGAAATAAATGCCAGTTGGTCTATATAAATATGGTACTAGACCTTCAAATTGGAGAAGCCTTATTGAATAACTTTCTCATAGAAATAAATGTCAGTTGGTCTATATAAATATGGTACTAGACCCTCGAGTTGTAGAAGGCTTCTTTAATCCTCTATCACTAAGCATTGTTATTCAATAAGTTATTCAATTTCTCATAGAAAAAAAATCTCAGTTGGTCTATATAAATATGGTACGAGACCCTAGAGTTGGAGAAGGCTTCTTCAGTCCCGTACTGCCAAGCATTGTTATCGAATACTGTCTTATAGACATAAAATAAACAGTAATAGAAAATTATGTGTGCTTCTTACATTTTTGGTTTGTTTTGAAAAACCTGCTTTCTTCATGATAGAATTAGCTTCAGTGGATATGTGCATCCTGTGTTGTCTTTGAGAATATCACAGCTGTTTGAAAGTAACAAGAATAGGCTGTTGCTAAAGCTTGTGTGCCGTGAAATTGAACCCTGGTACCTAAGAACTGTAAAACATGTCCTCTAACAAACTTCTATGTGACAGAGATGCACTGAGTGTGCTGAATTGATCTATGTGTTTGCAGTATTTAGTAATTGTAATTGTTCGTTCCAGGAACTGCACAAAGGATCTACCATAAATTCCCTGTTGGAGATAATAGAAATGGGCTTTAAAAGTTCTCAGGCTGGAAGGGAGAGTGCATTTATTGCTTGGAGAAGTCTTATTGATAATTTTGCATTGGATAAAGGTGGGTGTTGCTTTTTTCCCTCTACTAATGTTTTTCTTAAAAGATTATTAAAAAGTTATTAAGTTTTTGTCATCAGTTTCAGTTCTCACTGTACCAGGTTGATCAGATATGGCTTGGTCTCTCTGCAGAACGGTTGGTCAGCTGTGAGAGCGATATTCAAAGCAATAACTGTAGATCCGCAAAAACTCAAGGATACACAGAACACCTGCACCCAGTAACCATAAGATGTTTTGAGTTCTAACCCACAACTTCCAGAGCATGAGGCAGGCAGCTGAACCACTTCACCACAGACACCCCTGTTGTTGTCATGCCAGTTAAAAAAAATTCTATGACAATAGCTAATCTGCTGAGTTTACTCAGGGGCCAATATATAAAAAATGAGGATCATCGTGGGCCAGAGGCCCGAGTGCCACCATAGAAAGATCATTAATACAATACGACTAGCAATGATTGGCGGGCCACTTGCTAGGCCTCCACAGACCAAATCTGGCTCACACATCAACAGTTGAATAGCCTTGCTATAGACATACTGTAAACATCTGTCAATCTGGACCAGGCATCTGAACACAAATGCCAACGAATAAACAATTCAAAGAATTAAAAGTATCATTTGCTAGTTAATTTCCAGTTTTTTCTCTGAACTGTAGTTAGTAGTCAGTCAGCAGTCAGTGCACAAAGAAGTCAATGTGTGAGTCAATATATTCTAGAAATTTAATAATATTAATTCCAGACCTAGCAACCATTCTTTAAACTGCATATGTCAGTGTTTCCCAAACTTTTCTTAAACGCAGCACCTTTTTTTTTCAATGAAAATTTTCCGCGGCGCCCTAACCTAATAAAAGTATGACTATTCGTATTGTAAAAGAAAGAAACAAAAATTAAACTCATGTATCTTCACATGTTTCGCGGCTCCCCAGGGCACCACGGAGCAGTTTGAAAATCACTGGTATATGTGATAGAAATGATAGGCAAGAAAGATGCCTAAAACATGCCTGATACAAGTGGGGTCCCCAACCAAGATAACAAGCTTAATACTTGCAAGCCATGATGTCTGCTGCTGGTCCCTTGAAGTGAACTAATTGATGCATGGTCAATGATGGTATACTTTCACAGATGAAAAAAACCTTTGTGATACGTCTGGGTTATTGTTATACATTGTAATTCGTTATTATATTTTTGAAACATTTTCAGCAATGATTTCTCAGCCTAAAAAAAAAAAAAAAAAAGCACTTTTCACATGTAACAAAACTTCTACTTCTTCTTTTGTTTGCTTGAAATAAATTATCTATTTCTTCAGTGCTAATTAAAAAAACAACTGTTATTATACAATTGGGTTGTTATACGTTATAGTTAGTTATTGTATTTGACTAATTTCAGCGCTGATTTCTGACCCGAAACGTATAAAGTTACTGCTAATGGTTCTCAAGGTAGATAATGCAAAAGTTGAGTCTGTAGCTGTGGAGAAGTTGCGCACTTGGTGGCACTTCTGCGCATGTTTGGGATCAAAACTGGCGGTCAATTTTGAAATGGTAAAACTTTGTCGTTTTGTTGTACAGAGAGTAGTGTCTCATTTTGGTGTTTTTTGTTTGTTTGTTCATGAAAGAGATCATTGGATCCTACTTTTCATAGTGGAGTATAGTATCATTAAAAAGACTGGGTCTGCAAACTGGCTAATGTATTGCTAACTCTTCTTCTTAAAGTCCATGCTGTGTGACATTGGTAGTCATGTCTGGTCACAACCTTCTGTCTTGTGTGCTTTCAGTCATCTCTGACACAGATGATCCTCCATTCCTTGATGTGAGACTGTCCAGCATTTTTTCTCTCTGCCTTCCTCTGCCTCTCCTCCTCTCCAACTTTCCTACTGTCACCATGTACTCCAATTTTCTCCTTCACATCACATGAACAAAGAATGAAGATTATCTCTTTCTAATGTGGGCAGTCAGTTCTCTTCTTGAGTCAGTTTTTTTCAAGACATCCTCATTACTTGTTTCATCTATTAAAACCACATCTCCGCAGCTTCCAAATAATTTTTAACCAATCTACCAACTGCTACACGACGAAGCAAATGTCATTTGTGGGCATTTGAAACTATGGAAGAGCAAAAAGATTACCTCATCATCTAGAAAGAATGGTGCAAATTGGGATGACCAGAGGTTCTAATGGACACTTAGTGCTCATAAAAAAAAAGCAAGACAGACATACATTTAGACCAAAGTTGGCACCATTAGTATTCATACTTTGCGCATGCTGCTGAAGTGACAGGGTGCTTTTGAGAATGTCACAAGTGCTGTGATGTTGGCTCATAACTCTGTTGAAGCAAGCATCACTTCACAGGTCCGAGGTAGTTAGCATCCTTTGAATATTTTCTTTAGGTTAGCCCAGTGTGTTGGGAAATAAGCAGGCAGATAGGCTGGCCGGGCCTGCACCACTTGGTGGTGAACTGATATATGACAAGCTAAATGTGGTAAGGGCCCTTTGGAAGCGAGTGAACAGTGAGGAGACACAGATAGATCATTATGGTTTGGGAGAATGGCTCTGCGAGGAGTTAACCACGGGATCTGGCTGATGCTGAGCACTCAAGGAAAAGGTGAGACGGATATACAGTCAATCAGTCCCATTGCTATGATGTCGATTCTTAATTCAACGTTCAACTCTTGAAAAGATTATGTTTATTTCAGATTGTGTGTGTGCGTGAAGATGTTTGCTGCTGCTTAGGTTATTTTACCTGGAAGGCTAACCCAAGTAACAAATGCCTGCAAAAAGTTGGATGTTTTGGCTGAATTATGAAAATTGTGCAGCCATATTATAAACTTGTCAGAGTGCTTTTACATATTTGGATAAACACAGAAGAAAAAAGAGATTTCTTTTAGATTCTCTTTTAAGCGAACAAGTTATACCAAACTTAGCTCTGACCATCTTAAATATTTCAGTTTATAAACATTCTATATGTAACAACATAAAGAAGTGTTTTTAAAAAAAAAATATTTTTTTGTAAAGATTGATAATTAAGCAGGCCCTAAACAAATTCCTGTGGATTTTTTTTAAAAACAAAAAATCCATTTTAAAAACATAAAGTTGAACTATAAATCAATTTTATCAAGTCAGTTTTATTATGAATAGAATCATTTGTTGTTATTAAGTCTAATTGAATTTTTAATTTTTATTAGATAGTGCACCCATTGCTTTACTTTTGTGTTGGCAATGATAAGCTCCAGCCTGGGGCTGACTTGGGTCAAACTCCAAGATTGGGTAAGTTCATCCCTTTTTTGATGTCTGTATTACCTAGGCAGCATGCAGTATCATTCTGAATTATTTTTTCTTACTGTGTTGTGTTAATATGTTTCGTACTTGTGCCTGTAATGTTTTATCTTTTTGTCTGTGTTGCAATGGGTCCATAGGGGCACCAAGAATGGCAACACATTAATCTGTGATGCACATCATAAGAGGTCAGTAATAAGGGTTTGGATGAAACTGACTGCCTCAACATGTATAAAAATTTAGATGCAAAATCCAGTGAAACCTGGACAAGACTAAAAAAGGGTTGAATGGCCTTTGCCACTTTGGGAGGTGAGAAAGGTTGTGAGATAAAAAATATGCTTAATTGTATTAATAGTTAACAGATGGATTGAGGAAATGGGGATATCAGAAAGACTGCTTTGCGTTAATTTCAAGAGTGGTATCGAGAGCCTACCATTTGGTGCAATGGCAAACTACTAAAGTTGTCTAGTAAAAGCAAACAGCCAAAGAAATTGCTTTGGTTGGTTGTGCAGCTTTATTAAAGGACACACAGCTAACGTTTTAAATAAAAGAAACTCTGATCAATGTTGATGATTCCATCCATGATATTTAAACAATTTGCAAATAAGAATAAACACTGAGCCCTACATAATGACACAAGTATATAATGATGATGACGATGATATTAACAGCAAACAGTATTTAAATTAAGCTGAAGTACAGTTGTCAGTGAAGCTGGTTACCAAAACGGTGTGCCAGGACTTTGGTCTGGTTCCATAAATTGGATTTTACACGCTCATCTGTTTTACAGTTCTGGCTTATTTGTATGCAGACTGTTGGCTTCTTGTCTCTCTGACTTTGAAGGAAAACACCTAATTAGTTGGCTTTTATGACATGCTTGATAGAGAGAAAAAATCAGTCTAAATCATCCCCCCCCCCCACACACACACACACACACACACACACAGGGACCCCGCAGATCCCACCACAATAACTTCGGAGACCCCATGCAGGGAGGATATTGATTCTTTAGTGAGTAATCAGTATGCCATTACTTAATATATGTGAAGTACATTTTGCACCTCTGTGACAATATGGACTTTAAATATCTTTATAGTTGTGTTTAGCGGTCTCTGTGGTGAAGTGGTCAAGCCGTTTGCCTTTCCCTCTGAAGGTCATGGGTTCATTTCACAGCGGCAGCACTCATTCACTAGTGCAATTTTTACGGAGATCTCTGGGGATCGTCGCCAGAGCTACAGAGGTCGTGCTCTGTATGACGCTATCAGCAGGCAACTAGATGTTTTTTGCAGAGAGAGAGAGAGAGACCAAGCCATATGGGATAAAACCCTGTGCAATGGAATCGATCCTATCCCCTTTACCTTTATTGTTTGTGTTTAAAACTGTATTTAGTCATACAAAATTTGCGACAGAAGTAGTATGAAAGTGAAGTTTTTAGCAGGTAAATAATTTAGACTGTTCTTCTATTTTTATTTCATCTAGCTTTGAAAACTTCAACAACTAACTCACCCTTAGGGCTTCACCAGTCGTCACCAAAAGTGAAAAGTAATCAACCCATATTTTCAGAAGTACAAAAATTAGGAATTGAAATTATTGGTCACCTTGTTTCAAAAGTGGGGAAGTCTGATGATGTGGGCAAGGTTATATGGACACTTGGTATGTACTGTTTTCTGAATTTACAAATGTCCTGTTAACCATCATCATCTGTACCATGAAAGTTGGTGCAGTGATCATATTCCTCCACAATTATCTTCTTTATTCTGAATGTTTGACTGCTGATTAACCTGTTGATCATGTCTCTAATACCTTTCTTATTTCAAGGGATCATAGGCTTTCCTATTTTCCCTTTTTTTCTGATAACATGACCCAAAGAAAAAAAGTGTATGAAAACCATTATTTATATTGTTCTTGATATTTGTTAATTGTACAAGTATTTTTTCTGTTTTTTTTTTTTTTAACCAATTAGTGTTTTTGAAAATAGGTCGATTTTAATATAGTTTACTACTGGAGGTTTTCCTCACAGTCATCTTGATAATGTTTTCAGTTCTGGTTAGCTTGATCATAGTTTGAATTTCAGTCATCTTGATCATAGCTTGTTCCTTTTATCTTGACGATTTTTTCTATTTAGTCATCTTAATCATATTTTGTCACTCCATCACATAGAGCCAAGGTGCGAGAGTAATTCTGATCCTGTACGACTCTATATTCATTTGTATCTCAACTGACATACTTCTTCTTCTTCTTCAGCGTTCCAAGCCCTTAAAGTTGATTGCTGCAGATATCACCTGCCTCTCTTCATCTTTGTGATTAGACCTTTTTTTTCAGTTGGTGACTGTAAATTATCTGTATGTTGTCTGTATCTCCACCACCTCCTTTGTCTGACCTATGGTTTACGACCATTCAACTCTGTTGTGTACACAGTTTTTACTTCTTTGTCATCTGATGTATACCCAAGCCATTTCAATCTGTGAACCTTCCTGCTGCTAGTGACACACATACATACAAAATTTAATTGACAGCTGACACTTCTCTGTCCCCATCATAACAAACATTTCTGAGCTGACTGATCAGATCAGACCCAAGCCTGAAACTACTCTGGGACAGACAGATGACATTACAGTCTTTGACAGTGATAGATGTCTTTTCCTCAAATATGGAAGTTAGATGCTGTGATTAATTTTTTTTTTTTGTAGCACCTTTGAGTGATGAAGTCCTAGGAAGTCCTGGTATGTTTGTGAAACAGGCCCCAATCATCATGGCAGCCCTCCATAAACTGTTAACAAATGTTGGAAATCAAATTGAAGGTACTAGTTTGTGTGTGGTAGTGAAATTATCTTTCATTTAAAAAACTGTTTTCATATCTTTACTGCCTTGCATTATAACATTCAACAAGAGATCTAAAGTAAGTAATTCATTTCTGTTTCTTCGGTCGTGTGCCATATCTTGTGTCTTTATCTTTCTCAAACTAACCATTTTCTTAATTTCTTTTTTTCCCCTTTCTTTATTCATAGACTGAGCATAGATCATCAACCAAGCCCTTTTTACATTTCTTTCAATCAGTTGGTTGGGTTTTGCAGACTGAGGCCGGCAAGCCTTCTTAGTTACTTATTTAGTTACCACTTATGTCATGCTTTTAGTTTATAGCTAAACTCGTCTTTGTTTTATAATCGGACCTGGCAAATACATGAATATTGTGTGTTTTAGATCTCTTTATTTATTTTCCTTTTTGATTTTAGTTATTTGTCATCGACATCATCCTGTTGTGCTATAATACATCACACTGGGCTTGGAGTCTAGTCTTTCATTTCTAGACATCAGGTTTGGCTATTAACAGATTTTCAGTGGCAACATTTGTTTCCAGTCTTTATGGTTAATAGGAAATTATCTAATTGTTTCCACAAGTCAGCATTGTAGATTTTGGTTTACCAGCTTAGAAGAACTGCTTTGACATCCTCATCATCACCACATCATAACACTGCGTGTTGTTGGGTCACTATTGGATATCTGATCAGATTTTTCCAGCTCTGTCAGATGCACTGGACTTGATATTTGCATATTTGAGGTCCATCCAGTCAACAGATTTTGTATCAAGGTTTTCCCCTAGGCTCCCTTCCCTGTGCAGACACCTGTAGTATCATTTTGGAGAGGCTTTGTAATCTTATTTCATGTCTGTACCTTTGCCTTTTTGGTCTAGACCAACTCCTCCCAAGAAACGTGTAAAAGTTGATTAATTAGTGTTGTGTCCTTTAAATTTGGAGTGCATCTAGCTGAGAGGCCAGGAAAAAACAGTATGAATGCCATATATATAAGCCAGATTTGTAACAGATTTGCACATGTGTTTAAAGTCAGTCAATGCTAAGAAGAAGAAGAATCTTATAGAGATCTGTCAACCAAGGCAGGATCTGTTTTGTTTGGTATATTATTTAAAGAAGAAAAATTACATTGTCTTATGAAACTGAATAAAACCACTAGTATAACTGCTATTATTTTCTAGTAGTGAAACACATGAATGTTTTTTCTTTGAAACCTACAGAAAACCTGGTCATTTACATATGGACAAGTGTGGGGAATCATCTCAAAGCTGCTGTGGATAGCTCAGTGAAAACCGAATGTAGAGATATCTTTAGCACTTATCTGAGCATCCTACATTTTGTGGTGCAAAATCAACTGTTGGAGCCACAGACCATTTTGGTACTTGTCTTGTTTGTACACCGCTAGTTTGTTTACTTATAAAGAAATTAGTCCAGTACAAGGATTCTTTAGTTGAAATAGTCATATAAAAATATGTGTAGATTAGAAAGCTGAACTTGAAAGAGCAGCCAGCTCACGTCTAATTGATACGAAAAAGGTTAAGGGTTACAATCGAGAAGATTGACTTTATTGCACCAGGTTTTATCCCATATGGTTTGGTCTCTCCACTTAAAAAAATTTTTCAAGCAACAGATTTATATTATGTATAGTATATGAACATAACATGCTTTAATGATAAAATACAGCTGAGATATGAGCGGTTAGAAGGGCCGAATTTGTGACTCTTCGGAAAAAAAAAGTTTGGTAACCTCGTAGTTTTGGTGATGATCCCCAGAGGTCTCTGTAATAATTGCACTTGTGAATTGAAAGACACAGCCATAAACCGAAACCATGACATTCAGAGCACGAGGCAAATGGCTTGACTACTTTGCAACGGAGACCCCTGTCTAATGCAGCGGTTCTCAACCTGCCGGTCGCGATCCCTTTTGGGCCGAACGACCCTTTCACAGAGGTTGCCTAAGACCATCGTGAAATACATATTCATTAAAGTTATGAAGGAAAATAATTGTTAGGGGGTCGCCACAACATGAGTGAAATGTGTTAAAGGGTCGCGGTATAAGGAAGGTTTAGAGCCACTGGTTTAATGGATACAATTCCATTTTGTTTTGAAAGATTCTGCTTTTTCTTACACAAGTATGGCACAAGACTATTTAACAACAATAATACCACACTTTTAATCTCTGCTAGTCAACAGTAACAGTTGGTGACAGACACCATAATGTTTATTAAAATGCCACAGGTTGATGATGGGTGACTCTGTTATTTCCAATGGCTAGTCTACAAGTAACTGCTTCCTGTCACATCTGCTCTGCACCCACTTTTGTAAACTTTAATAGCAATAACTTTCCTAATATTACCTGTTCAGAGTAAACTGTCAGATGCACTTACTCCACTATAACTTTCTCACAAAGAGAAAACAGATCACACAGCCCTCCCACTTGAATGGGAGGACATTCACAAGCAGTGCCTGGCTATTGTGGACAAAGTTCAGCTAACCAGTGACTAGTCTTCTTTCATAGTACCTCTGCACCCTCTCACTTCATTTATCTGCTTTTCTAAGTCAGGGGTCAGGGCTATTCAACTAGGTTTACCCAAAAGCAATGATCCTGCGTCACTTGCTAAGCCTCTGTGGGTCAGATTCAGCCAGCGAGCCACCAGTTGAATAGCACAATTCTAAATTATCAAAACTAGCAAAGTCTGATATGACGCTTTTCAAAGCTAGCTGGATTACTTTCTAACATTTACAATTTAGCCTGTGAACCTAAGTTAAGGCACACGCACACATGCGCGTGCAAACAAAATACACACACCATACTTTCCACAGTTTACTGGCAAATGTGGATTAAAAGAGCAAACATCCACCTGAGGCTAAACAAAAGACTGTTTGCTTTGTGGATACATCTTAAAAGTAGTATGCCGTCAATCATTTTATAATCCCTTTTTCAAAACAGACATAAAAGGAATAAATGAGCAGAGAATCACCATGACCAAGCAGGTATTAAAATGGAAAATAAAAGAATTGGTGAAGTGATGCCGTCCAAAAAATGTACATTGAAGAGTGAAGCCATGGTATCAAAAGAATTGCACAGAATAGAACAGAATAGAGAAATAGACTGCGAGCCCTATGTGACATACATATAACGGCACCTTAGAACAGTGTTAAGGATATGCAGTTAGATGCCTCTGAGTGATTCTTAAGTCCTAAACTGCAATGACATTTTCTAAGTTGCAATTATTGTTGTCTACAGAAAATGATTCAGATCTGTTGCAGCTTTCCACAAAAAGTGCTGGCGTCTACAGCTTATAACATCACTGGAGGACAGACTGTTCGTGTGAGTTTCTTTGCTAGTTTTTCTTAGGTATACATTTAAAAAGAAAACTTAAGTAGAATCCTATTTATTGTGCTTATCAAAACTGGTCTGAGGTTGTCTGTTGTGGTAATAGGCCTCAAGGTTTGGGCCAACTTTATGCCATAGATATGTTATAAGACAAAAATGGACTCAGTAACTTTATAACGACTGGCAAGATTGATGGAAAAAGAACAAAGGGAAGGCAAAGATATAACTACCTAGATTGCGTGGCCACATGGATAGAGAGACAAGAACATTGACCTGATCCTTCATTCCGGTGATTGTGTGAGGTGGCCAAACAAAGCCTGCTTTTTTCATCATAGCACATGATGATGATAAGTTGATAAGTTTTGGCTGTAACATTCACTTTAACATCAGTGTCCAAGGACTGATTTTTTTAAAAACCATTTTTGTTTTTGCTTTTCTCGAGATTGTATTCTCAGTTCCTTCTGCTTCCAGAGGTGTTTTTTAATCTGTTACCTTTTGGCTGTTTTTTTTCTCCCCTTTGTTTGTTGCACCTATGATCATAATATCCTTCATTATGTAATATGATATGTCTTTATTTGGAACTGTTTTGTTTTAACATATTAATAAAATGTGCCTTTGACCTTTTTTAAAGCAATTAAGACATTAGGAGACTTGGTCTGTGTGAGCATTTATAAAGAAATACCTGAAGAAATTGGATTCACTCCTATCAAGCACAATGTACACTGAAGTAAACAATCAAGCATTTAACACACATGTGCATGCAGACATTCAGGCACACACAACAGCAAAAACAGCATTCTTCAGCAGTGCTATTATACATCACATTGGCCTTGCACTCTAGTCCTCCATTCCTTAATAGCCTATTCAGTCTTCTTGGATATCATGAATGAAATCCAGTCCAACGCCTATGACCTCTCTCAACTTCATTCGTTATAGTTTCTCTTGAACATCCTCATTGCCTCAGTTCATTTCATTTGTTTCCCATTTCAGCGGGTTTTTTTCATGATTCTCTGTCAATTTCTCCTGATGATGTGCCCAACATGTTGCAGTTTATTTATGTAAAAGTAGAGACACAACCAACTGAAAATTAGCTATACTTACTTTACACTTCATCTGTAAAAGTAACCTGTGTGTAGTTAGTTAGTCGACAGATTATCCTCATTGCAAGTCGAACCACTCAGTTCATAAATGCTCGGATCCTCTCCTCACTCCTCAGTAAATCCTGCAGCGTGTAGCGGCCATCGACACCAGTTCTGTGTTGGTATATTATTATTCTTTGGCTACCCGCAGAGTGTTCTTGTTTGGCAACACCCTGTTTATAACAGGTTGTTCTTGCAGTCTGAATATGGTTGCAGATTCACAGTTCTCAGTTGACCCTATGTGTAAACTAGGCAGGCCAAGAGAGACAGTGCTCAACACTTTCAAACGATGGCAGGGTGGAATATCATCAGTGGAATTGATTCAAAATACCAGAAGCCAAGATCAGCTGTTTGGGCAGGACACGTGATGATGATGTAAGCTAAACTACATTGGTGTCTTTGATTCAAAATATGAAGGACTGAGATCTGGAAAAATGGACACATGATGATGATGATGTATGCTAAACTACATTGATAGTATTGATTCAAAATATGAAGGACTGAGATCTGGAAAAATGGACACATGATGATGATGTATGCTAAACTACATTGATAGTATTGATTCAAAATATGAAGGACTGAGATCCGGAAAAACTTAAGCACCTACGCCACTGGTCAGGACACATGATGATTATGTAGGCCAGACTTATAAATGTCTTTGTTCTAGATAAGATATTACAAAGAAACCAGGCCTGTGGTTCTGTGATTTGTCAGAAGCCAAGTGCATTGGCTTTGATGGTAAGAACCAAAGGGAACGTCATCAAAGAAGACAGTGGAGCCTTTGCTTCTACCACCAGCAGCATGGCAGTGGAGGTCATGGCTTTGACAAAGGCCCTAGAATGGCTGAAAACTCAGGAATTCACCAATGCATGTTTGCTCAGTGATTCAGTGAACATGCTACAGAATATCAAGGCGGGGCACATTTAAAAAAAAAACAATGGCTCCATCTGATACAGCATGCAGTCTTTCGCAAAATCAACTTCATTTTTTGTCCCATGGTATGCTAATGTGAAAGGCAATGAAAGAGCAAAAGCTTTGGCTAGCAGTGCGACTATTAGAAATGGGCTATCTGTAGACAGGAGAGAAATCATCAGTGCCATACAAGAGATGCTCTTTAAAATGGGCAGTGAAAAAAGAAACAAAGCAGCAAAGAAATCTTTAAAAAAAAAAGTTTGCTATGAGTTATTTGAATGCTCTGTCCCTGCGTTAAGGAATAAAAGAGAAGAAAAAGATCTAACAAATATCTGTAAAAGTTCTGACATTGAAACATTTTTGTTTTGAACAGGGCTGCCCAGCACAACTTCTCAGTGAACTTCTGTTGTCTGGTAACATGGTTAAACATGCTGGTGCTCAGGAAAAGTAAGTCCACTCTTTCAGCCCCAAAATTTTGCAGTAGATATCCACAGCTGCATAATAGCCACAGTAAAATAGCATTAGATTAATTACTATGTTCCATGTTAAGTCAGATTTTTTTTGTATGTTTAGACCAAATGTAAATATTATTAGATACACCATGCTTTGCTAGATGCACACGGACAATGGTTAATCATATACACTGGTTGAAACGAGAGTGGTAAATAATGAAATACAATAAATTATGCGGGATTTAAAAAAAAAAATGCTATGCTTTTTTTTAAAAAGAAAGTTCCTAGTGATTTTGATGCCATAAGTATTTGTATTTATTTTATCATTAAAATTGTACACATTTTCATTGCAAAGTTAAAAAAAAAAATACTGGTATTGCTATGTAGATAATTTGAGAACAGTGCAAAATTGTGTGCATAATACCTGGCATGCATGCATGTCTTCTGGTCTTATTTGCGCCATTGAAAATTTTGAGAACTGAGAACATACATCTTTCTTATTTCAGCACAGCTGGTGGTTATCAAATCAGAATCAAGAAATTAAACTGAAATCTTACAGAAAATTCTTACGATGGATCTGTAAAAATAAAAATACTGGATGCTTTATTAATATCCTACCCCAAACGGGAAATCCACAGGTCACGGGACAGTCTAATATTTCTGGGGGTGGTAGACTGCATGCAGTCATGGGACCTAGGCTGCACTCTCTCGTGGGATATGGGTGGGTTGGGATTAGGTACAGTTCTAGATGTTTTGGGGTCGTTAAAAGCACCAGAAAGCCGGGAAACCCAGTCTTACCAACCTCTAAAATGTTGGACTATCCTGTGACGTCATCTGGAGTAGGATATTAATAAAGAGCCTGTTCGTTAAGATCTGAACAGCAAAGAAAACTGGCTTATAAACAGTATCATGTTATAATCCCCCTATAAAAATATATATTGATGCTAAGAATTCCTATTATTTAGAAATATAGGGAAAATTCAGCACATTCCAGCATTTGTGACCCAATTTTTAATTGTTGTCATTTATGTTTATTTTGCCTCATTTTTAACTTCTTAAAAGATGGATTAAATGAAAAATGTTTGAAAGAAATTGGCGGATTGTTAGACAGGCCTGGGTGCCCAGCCCAGTTTTGAAACCTTTGAAAAAAAATAGAAGTTCATTAATTTGTCATGTTAGAAACTTCAAATGTCATTGTGGCTTAGAGAGCACAGTAATGGAATTTACGGTTTCTGGAAGAAGAAAACGTGGATCTTTTTCACTTTATATTGTACCACTTGGATGTCGAGGGAGATAAAATGTTATTCATTTACTTCTGGCCTCCTCACCATAGACACATCCTGCTTGCAATGTGCTCTGCTAGGAGTTTGATTCAACTCGTCACGTTGCTGTAATGATGTTCTTAGGTACACACAGTTGCTAAGAATACACCAGATGATAAACATTCAGTTACTGACCTTTACTTGCTGTTATCACAACCATACTGTCCATACGCTCCTTGTGTTCTCATGATCACTACGCATGGCTGATTCCTGATAATCTTGTAAACTATCTCACGCGGCAATTTTACTCTGCCATTACCTTTCGGATCATACATCTGTAGCATACTGACGTATTGTACCTGGTACTCGTACACAGTTGAAACTTGCAATCAGAAGACATTCATTTCTGCTCTCAAACTACAACACGTGGTCAGACGTTCTACATTCTCATCCGCTGTTCTCTCACGTTCGACCACACACATCCATGTCTGAACTTTAACTGCCTTCCTACCCTCTCTGGGTTAACATCTTTTGTTCTAGTCTCATGCTTTCCTCGTATCCCTCATTCACTCACCATGGGATACTCGAGACCTGCTTATCTTGCTTTTCTCTTGTTTTACTGGTCCGATGACCTTGGCCCTCCAAACGGGAACACTCTGGGATTTCCCCAGGAATTTACAACGTTACACTGCTGTTGTATAGTTTCTTTGATATTGTCTTATGTTATGTCGTCACAAGTGATATCACTGCACATTGGGCATTCCCATGCATGCTCAGTCCCCTGATGCAGCAGCCACTCCAAAGTACCTCTACTGATTGTTCTCAAGAGAAGTTAGTCTTGACCAAGAATACGGCATAGACGTGCTTCAGCGTTTCTTCCAGGTCGCTAAATCGTTTTGGCGTCAGAGATTCAACATCAACCCCGCAACATAGTTCTTACAGCATTGACAAAATCGGCTCTGTCCATGTTGATGGACCTGTTGGCATTAGTGCATTACTTGCCAGCTGATGTATTTTTCCATCTTGTTCACTGTTTGATGTGTGCTCTGTGTCCTTCTCTTTAGGTGTATCTCTTGTATGGTATGGCCTCACATGGCACTCTCTCTTAAGTGGGCAAACCAATTTATTTGCTGTCTTCCATGTAATTTTGAATTGTTTCAGTGCCAACCATCTCAAACATCAGAACAGATGGGTCATATTATGAGAAGGAAACTAGGGTATGTTGTGATCACTAGAAGGATCTGTGGAAATGAACTAGAGGAACACAGTGAGAGAAGATTTTTTGAGAGCCTTTTGTTGTAGCATGGAGGGGAGCATAGGAACTGATACCTACTGTCGGAGATAGCAGGTTGTGGAGAGGCATGATCACCCACGCTAATCGGCAAGGCACTTGAAAATGATGGTGATCCCTATCCAGCATGCAAAGAATTTATTTAGTAGAATGTGTGGATGAAACACCATAGTGTTCAGTGGACAAAAAGGTGACTGCCAGCACACCCCTTGGAGAGGCTGTAACATTGCATGGCTCTAAAGACACTCTCGTCATCCCCTGTACTTGAACTCATCTGCAGATATCCTGACATCTCAAAAGACCCAAGTGAATGCAGACCAGAGATAGATTTTTTTTTGTTTGTTAAAAAATGTTTTTTTTTTTTTTTTCACTTTCGTGGGTTCCAGGGCCTCAGTGTGAGGAAAAAAAAAGAATAGACACCCCCACCTCCCTCCCTCACCCCACCACCACAATCATATCATGAAAGACAACTAATTAGGAATGTTTCCTTCAATGAGGGAGTCCATCTGCCTGAGAGGCAAAGGATCAACAGTCTGCAGACAAATAAGCCAGACCTGTAAAATCGATGTGCACACAAGACTAAAGTTCAGAAGTTGTTGAGCAATTTGAACTTCTGCCAGAGTTTTACAGCTTTTAAACACAAAAAAAGATGATTTAAAAAAAAAAGCAACCTGATTTGTACCTGGTCTCCTTGATTTCAAGGCAAACAATGCCACCTACTCCTGCATAATAAATATGGTATTTAAATGTATTAGAAAAAGAAAACATTTGGCCACAGATATTCTTTATGTAACAGAAGAATGGACAGTAAAGAATATAAATACAATTTATGGTATTATTTGTTTTGTTTATTTATACATCATCTTTTCTGTCATCAGCTTTATGAAGTTGTTTTCCACACTGGTGAATGCTGGAGCCAGCAATTTGCCAGGGGCACTGCTGTTTTTGCAGAGTGTTGCAGAAATGTTGGATTCACAGGCATCATCCTTGCCATCTGCTGAATGTCTGTGGAGGTTATGGAGCACCCTGGCACACACACTTCAAGACACAATCAACACTGTAAGTCTACAAATGTCCGGATACGATAATTAAGTAAACAGGCGAATGAAAGCACACAGTGGTGTTGTCCAATGAAAACAATTAAGATATTTAATGCTTCACTTAAACAACGAAGAAAATATTATGTCATTTTAATGTATCACTAAAACAATTAAGAAAATGAATATATGTTATTTTAATGTATCACTAAAACAATTAAGAAAATGAATATATGTCATTTTAATGTATCATTAAAACAATGGAGAAAATTATAATTTGTAATTTTACTGTATCACTAAAACAATGAAGAAAATGATATGTCATTTTACTGTGTCACTAAAACAAAAGTAGGCAAAGTCCTATTTTCAATCTTTCAGTAGTTTTTGGTACATGTTAAAGTCTATAATGACGTGAGATAAACCGCTAACTTAACCATCCGAGACAAAGTTAGAAATAATATCATCAGACATACTGAAGGAACAACACTATGCAGCAAATTCATTGAGAAACAGAAGATCAAATGGTTTAGTCATTTAGTAAGAAATCAGACAAAACAACTACCAATACAGGTGCTACACAGGAGAAGATCTGAAGTGAAAGCAAGAGGCCGGCCTAGGAGAATATGGATTGATCACATTAAAGAGCTTCTACATTGACACAGAATGAAGTAGCCATTGCTGCCCATCAGGCAATGGATCGCAAACTGTTCCTCCCCACAACGTTTAACGGCAGAAGTGGAAATTGATGATGATGATGACGATTGAAAGTCCATCAGTAGTTTGCTGTTGCTTTCTGGGTGATTGATGCTCCATACTACTAGTCAAAGAAAAAAAAAAAGAAAAGAAAAACACACATTTTAATTTGTGATAGCATATATTAAAATAGGATCCTGTCCCAAAAGCTGGGATATTTTAGCCATGTTAATTATAATGGTGTGCTGGAGAGAATGGTGATGGAAGGTACAGTTTCTGGAGAGCGAGGCAGAGGCAGACCTGCGAATTTTGATGCAAGACATTGAAGATACATTGGCTATGAAAGCATATTGGGCTGGAGAATTGGCTAGAGAAAGAGAGAGACTTTCAGCCGTAAAGGACCTGCTGATTGATGTGTTGAAATTCTCAAAACTAGGCAGCTGGTGCAAGATAATTATGCAATGGATACCCTCCCACTGTGGAGTTCCTGGAAATGAAAGTGCTGATAAACTAGCTAAGGAAGGTGCAAATGAAGAACAAAAGAAGAGAATGATCAGAAAGCCACCAAAACCGGCACAAGATGATTACCATTTTATGGACAGACCAGAGAAAGTTATTATTCTACACTTTAGAAGAGGGCACAGTCGACTTCGCAACCACATGTACACAAAATTAAAAATTGGTGAATCAGCCATGTGCACATGTGTATTGGCACCTGGACAACAGATCATGTCCTCCAAGACTGTCCCGAATGCAACATATCAAGGGAAAACTTTTGGCCATGAGAAACACCAGTGCAAGTCAAACTTTACGGGTCACTGAGTGAATTACAAAAGACAGTGAAGTTCCTACTAGAGACAACATTGCAGATGCAGATAATCTTTTTCCAGCAAATGAAAGGAGAAGAAAAAGATGTATTAAAATAAGCTGATGCCAGCAATGGTGTGAAAATGTGAAAAACACAAATTGTGTAACAGATTTACTGAAGAAACAAACAGGATGATATGCCTTTAACAGCTAAAAATAGTGAGAAATGAAATGCAGCATGAATAAAAGGAAATTACACTGAAGCTGATATAGAAAAAAAAAATAACACATTGCTTTGGCTGCCAGGTGAATCTAGCCTAAAACTTGCACTAGGTAATATCCTGGGAAGTAAAGATGGCTTGCTTGATTTCGACAGCCTCCCCCACCATGTGCCGGTTGATCTGTACAAATGAGAGTCTAGTATCATATGTCCGTTGCACCACTGACTTATAGAGAATCCTTTAAATCTTGTTTCATCATCTTGTAGCAAGTCCTTTGCAGAATGTAATTCTCATCACGGTCTGCCTGAAAGAAATTCAGTCTCGCGCCAGCTCTCCCACTCAAAATTATAATTTTGATCTTGCTGGGCTTAACCATAGACTTTTAATGCTGTTTAATCTTTGCATTGCTATGGCCATCCTCCTTTTAATTTCTGTCAGTCTCCATTGCTATTTATTATAGAGCCTAACAATTTAAAGTTTGTGACATTTTCAATTTCTTCATCATTTATTGTTATTTTTGGGTGACAGCCAGTTTTATCTGTGATCATGATTTTCATTTTATTTAAATTCAAGAACAGGTTTTGATCTTCACTGTGCTTTTGGACAGACAATCTTAAATTTTCTATTCCCTTTCTTGTTTACTGCATTAAATTCCTATATTTGCACATTTTAATTTGTTTTAGTGATTACATATTTATTATGTTTTCTAGACTAATGAAGTGAATCAAGGAGACGCGCTGGAGTACAGCTTTGGCTGCATGCATACAGTATTGCTTCTGCCAATTAAACAACAGCTCTTAAGTAAAATATCCCAGGTATCTTACACATGTCATAGATAAGTCTATGTGTCTTAGTCTTAGCTGAGGTTTCAACATCACCGCAATCTGGTTTCCATATACTTGCTCCGTTCCTGTGCCAGTGTGAATCAAACGAAATGTCCCTCACTGTTGTATCTGAAAAACTGGTGGATAAACTAGTCCTGGAACTATCCAGAAATATGTGCACGCAGTAAATGTGTATTTCAGTTTCTAGAGGTGCCAAAGTAAAGTAAAGTAAAAAAGTAAAGTTCCCTTTTCACGCCTTTCGGCGCATCGGGCATATGGTCAGAGCGTCCCATATTTTTACAGCACTCTGTGGGTAATGTGGTCAGCATTACGCCAGCTGTCTTTACTTTCCCAGGACAGCCCATCCTGGTACCCATTTTAGGCTGGGTCGACCTGCGACGTCCCATACCACGACAAAAATCCACACAGCCTGCAGTGGGTTTCGATCGCGGTATGCTGGCTTACGAGTCGGACTCGCAACGCCTTAGCCACGGACGCCGCCAGAGGCGCCAAAGCCACCTGATATTCAGTTTGTCATTGATGGAAGTAGTCAGGCATGATAAGTTGGTTACAGTACACACGTTAAATTATTACATAAAGTATTTTACCAACTCACACGTAAACCGGCTACCAGCCATACTGAATACCACAACACAACCGCTGCACAAATAAAAGGCATTCCACAGGAAAAACACAGCTCACAGGGCTGCAGCCAAGCACTGAACTCGGTAGTTCAGGCAGCGAAATCGTAGACTGCAATCATAATGTGGAAACTGCGTTAGCAAAGCACTGTCGGAAGCAAAAATAACTTCGAAGCTTAACATTGTCATGTCTTTCCTCCATTTTGGCAGGAAATCTATGTGTATTGAGTCTGTTAGGTGCTTTTTTATTTAGAGAATATAGAATCTGTTTTGTCTGTGTGATATGTATAAAAGGTACAAATATACACAAATTAACAAAGACATTTTTATGAGTCATTATCATCAGTCAACAGGTCCTAAATAGAACATAGCTCTCTTCACGGCACACCTGAAAGTCTGTTGCTCTAGCCAGTTCTTCAGCCCGGTATGCTTTTATAGCCGGTGCATCTTCAATATCTTTATCCACATTTGCTGAAAGTGGCCTCTGCCTCATTTTCCGGAAATTTCACCTCCGCCACAGTTCTCTCCAAGCCACCCTGACACTTCATGCATTCATTTTCCTGTTGTGCCATTGTATGTCACACTGGGCTTACATTCTGTCCCTCCATTCCGTTCTGTCCTATGCAATCAGTTTAATATCATGGATGAAATCCAGTTGAGCAACTTTGGCCTCTCTCATTGGTGTTCGTCTTAGAGTTTCTTTTGGGTATTTTCACCTCCTTAAAACCTTTATTTCCCATTTTAATGCCCGTTTGGTAATTCTGTTGGTTGGTTTCTTTTCAGGATGTGTCCAACGTTGTGCCATCTGTTCTGTCCTATAACTGTTGATACTTGTTGCCCAGACATTTTTCTTATTCCTTCACTCTTTTTAAATTCACCCTATTTAATTTTTATCATTTGCCTTAGACATTTGTTTTGGAATGCATTTTACTTTCGTTCCATGTCTTTCACTTGCATATGTTTAAACTGAAATTTTATAATAATCAAAAATATGTAACTTAGTTTTAAAACTACACAATTTAGAGTTCTATATTTTGTTTGAGAAAGCTGCTGACGCCTTGCCAGTTTGTGTCATAATTTCTTTCTTTGTATTTCCTTCACTATCAAAATTACTATCTGAATAAGTAAATTGATCTGTTACTTCAACTACCTTTGCCTCTAGTGTTACATCTGCTCAGTCTGTTGTTGATGTCTTCAATGTATTTATTTTTTTCATAACTTTTTTGTAGTCCAACCTTTGATCCTATGTTTGTTAAAGCATCTTTTTTCCTTTGCACGTCATTGCTGTTTTCACTTGGCAGAACAATTTCGTCAGCAAAATCAACATCTTTCAGCTGAGTGTTCTCTCCACCCAGTCAGTGCTGTTGTTTTCAGCTGAGTGTTCTCTCCACCCAGTCAGTGCTGTTGTTTTCAGCTGAGTGTTCTCTCCACCCAGTCAGTGCTGTTGTTTTTCAGCTGAGTGTTCTCTCCACCCAGTCAGTGCTGTTGTTTTCAGCTGAGTGTTCTCTCCACCCAGTCAGTGCTGTTGTTTTCAGCTGAGTGTTCTCTCCACCCAGTCAGTGCTGTTGTTTTCAGCTGAGTGTTCTCTCCACCCAGTCAGTGCTGTTGTTTTCAGCTGAGTGTTCTCTCCACCCAGTCAGTGCTGTTGTTTTCAGCTGAGTGTTCTCTCCACCCAGTCAGTGCTGTTGTTTTCAGCTGAGTGTTCTCTCCACCCAGTCAGTGCTGTTGTTTTCAGCTGAGTGTTCTCTCCACCCAGTCAGTGCTGTTGTTTTCAGCTGAGTGTTCTCTCCACCCAGTCAGTGCTGTTGTTTTCAGCTGAGTGTTCTCTCCACCCAGTCAGTGCTGTTGTTTTCAGCTGAGTGTTCTCTCCACCCAGTCAGTGCTGTTGTTTTCAGCTGAGTGTTCTCTCCACCCAGTCAGTGCTGTTGTTTTCAACACATATTTTTCATCACCTAGACAACGGTTAGGCCAAATAACAGAGGAGATCAAATGCATCCCTTTTTCACTCCAGTATCAACTTCAAACCAAACACATAAACCATCTTCTGTTCCCACTGTACACTCTCAACCTTCATACATTGCCTTGATAACATTTATAACTTTATTAGTATACCATAGCATTCCAAAATTCCCCGTAGTGATGTTCTATGTAAACTATCAAAAGCCTTCTTAAAGTCAATGAAATTCAAAATGGAGTGAATATTTGATCTGAGCAGCTTCTTCCAGGTCGAAAAATCTGCTTTTTCCTGTCTCAGGATTTTGTCCACTTCCCATTTAATTCTGATGAGAATTATTTTACAAAATGTCTTTGATATTACTGATAACAGAGTAATTCCTCTCTAGATGTTACAGTCAGTAAGATTACCTCGTCTTGCACAACTTTTAATTTGTTCTTTCTTTTTGTAATCTTCTTTAATCCTGATTTCTTGTTCCATTGTTCTAGCATTGCATATAGCAAGCTTCACTGCCTTTCTTTCCTGAATACACTGCCATGTGTCATATTTTATCTAGGGTTTTCTATCACACTTTATTTTAGTTTTTTACTAATTGTTGCTGCTTCTAAAAATGTGGTCTTTACATCATTCCAGTTTTCCTTAATACTCTGATCTGTAAGTGCCTACCAAATGTCTACTTCAAGTGCTTCAGATGTATTTTTCAGCTGAAGCTGGAACTCTTCTCTTTTCCTTTGCAAAGTCTTTGACTTTTCTTTGTTGTACATGTTTCTTGGGAGCTGGTTTTTTTTTTAAAAAACTAACATTTTCCTACACATAAGATTTGGTCACTTCCGATATCCGCTCCTCTGTATGCTCCGACATCTATCAAAGCGCTTCTATATTTGTTGTTTAAACATAGGTGTCCTTTTTGATTCTGGTGAGTGCCAGGTTAATTTATGAATCTCCTTATAAGTAAAGATGGTGCCGTCTCCAACTACTAGACTTGACTGCCTACTGTATTCAGGCAGTCGTTCTCCATTTTTTTTAATTGTTAACTCTTATTTTTCCTATTACTCTCTCAACACCCAGTTTTGAGATCATATAGTATGAGGATGTTTTTTCTTCTTTGGTCCACATATTCTAAGAATGTCTCCGTTGCATTTCGGTTGAGAAGCTCCAGTTTTTTTTAATTGATTAAGAGACTATGACTCGCATCCATTAGTTGCCATGGGAAAGATGTATTATCTCAGAATGTTTACTTTAACTTGCTTGCAGGTGCCTTTCTGCAATCATCTGCTGCTTACATTAGCTTTGCTGTTGTTGAAAAGATTATATAAAAAAAAAACTTTATAGAGAGAATAGGAATGGCCAAAATATAATATAACAGCTTTAACTTCTTGAGAGATAAACAACATAATGAAAATGTTAATTGTCAGGTGTTATCTATCTATATCCACCACTGTGATGTTAAAAAAAAATAATAGACAATTTAACAAGCAGGTAGAAAGCCAAATTAATGTACTGGAGATTTGGTTACACAGAAGAATATATAATATTTGATATACATAAACAAAACAAAAAAAACACAAAAAATTTTAAAGATCAAATGAAGTCATTAGAAAGCTGTTTAGACAAGAGAGTTGATAAAAGAATTAAAGAAACAAAACAAATTGGAAAATATCTTGGCCACATTATGACCATTTCACTGACAAAAACCAAGCTCGAGGAAAAATTCAGCAGCACTTAAGCGAGAAGTAGACAACAGTACAAATAAGAGCATCAAAATGACAAATTGCAGCTTGTCACAGTATACAGCCAGGAAGAAGGACAGGGAGCATTGGAGATCTTTTTAACTAACCTTTGTAGAGATTATCCCAGTTTGATTTATTGATAAGATATAAATATTATATGTAAATTACACACCCCATTCACACTTTTTGTGACACACCAGTGTTGGCCATTTCTAGTCTGTTATATAAACATATTTTACAACATGACAGTAATTATATCCTCTGTTTACCAGTTGTGTACTTTTCTTTTCTCTTCAATGAAGGTGGTTTGCAAAGCTCTTCTGAAGACATGGAAAGAACTGTATCACACTTTTGCCCGCTTATCTGCCCTTGTTTCAACAGCTGAAGCCAATACATGTTTGGAAGAAATGTGTGCAAAAATAATACAGAATTGGTGCCCAGAGTTCAAGGTTAGTGGGCAGAAAGGGGGAGATAAATGCTATGTTTTTCATACAGTAATTTTACTTTGCTACATATCTTGATGTATAACCCAATATTATCTTTGCTACAGTTGATGATAAATAATCTCATGTATTTTAGTGTATGTTTGTTTTTAGTTACTGTCATACGTATAATTTCCGTTTATAGAATGCACAGAGAAATAGAACGACTGAACAAACTTTATTTTAAAAGGGTCAAGAATTGGGCACACAGGCCCTTCTGCCATTCTGCCCTTCTTGTCTCCCTCCTTTCACACATCATTTCGTTCATACATCAAGTAATATTAAACATTGGCAATACAAGCACTGGAATGTGCACATTTCTTACTACAGTAAACCGTAGTAGTTCTAATAAATCTTGGGAAAATGTGTGCTATTAATAAAATATTTTGTAAATTTATGGGGGAAGGGGGGAATATAATTTGTGCTCAGATAATCTTCGAACAGTTTCCGATTGTATGTCTAGGAACTATTGGTATTTTTGACTTGTGGAAGATAGTTCCCCAGTTGAGCTGCGGACTACTTCAGACTTGTTTTGTATAGACCTATTCTAGGTTTAGCGATATGAAATATCTTCCATTATACAGAGTTCGTAGTGGGCCTTAAAACCTTGGAAATGTAGGATCCCTCTCAAGGTTTGGAGAAAAACTCTGGATTTTTATGAAAACTGACAAAAATCCTTGAACTTCATGCAACAATTCTTGAACTTTGCACATACTGTAACTCAAACACAGATGAAAAAGGGAGAATTTGTGTGATTTTTAGCAATCAGGATTTTTGCCTTTTTTGCTGTTACAGTTTTTGCGGTTACCCTGTTTAAACTGATCGTCAGCAAACTACGTGGGCTAGAGTCGTTTTCAATGTTTAAATATATGTCAGTAGTGTGTAAGCGTGCAAACGATGCTTATTTCCATGTCTCATTGCTTTGCGGCATGGGGTATGGACGATGCCGAGGGAGCTATCTTCACCCATCTTGTTTCTTTAGTCGCCTTTCCCTCCCCTTTCTCCTTACCTTCAGTTGGTGTAGCAAGGTTAACTGGTACCCGATGCAGAACGTACCCCCTCCCCCACATTCATACTCATTAAATATGTGTATAATTTTAAATTTGCCACTGCTGACATCCGGGGTCGCTGCACCCCCTGTCCCTCACAATGAGGAGAGCGACATCCTGTGTGGCCGCACCCCTGTCCTGCCACAGTGATGACACTCAGGATGGCTCCCCCTAGTGATGATACATTAGAATGGCCCGCACCCCTTCCACTATCTTTGCCCTATCTCTCTGCTTCTTTCTTTCTCCTTTTCTTTCTCCCCCTGTCTCAGTGATGACGACTCTTTTCTTACTGTATGTTTCTTTTTTGTCTTTGTCTCCTCTCCTTTTGGAAAGTGGACATTCACGAAGCGGTAGTAGCATAAGACCTTTATAAGTTTCCTATCTAACTGCCCCATGATTATTACTTAGTAAGCGAATGACGAGAGACAGATCTTAAAAAAATATGAAGAGCAGAATTGAAGTAAGAAATGTGTAACATAGGTGCAATTTGTCAGAGATGAGACAAAATAGGATGGTTTGGCAGGAATTAAATGAGGGCCTATGCTGCAAGATAAAGGAAAAGAAAAATATATCTTAATCTATGACTTTTTAATCCATTGATATTTTTGTTTCATTTTTTTGAGAATTTTCTCATTACTAAAGAGAGATTGTTACTTGGCAGTGATGATGTTATGATATGTTTGTTCACCTCTTATTAAATTAAAGTTTTGAAAAAAATGTGCTTGTTGTTCACTCTTGCAGGAGGCGGTAACCTTGGAGTTTCTGTCAAATGTCTGCCAGAAAATGATTGAATGTGTGGATTTCTCTGCTGCCTCAGTCAACCAAAGTCCAGGCAGTGGTTTAACCTTGAGCCCAGGCAAATGGCTGCGAAAGCGGCAGCGGCCATTGGGAAATTTTCACTCCTTTGTACACCTGCTGGCAATGCTGCAAACAGAATGGAATTCAGTTTTTTCAGAAATGGACAACACAGACTTTCTCAAGGTAAGCCAATAATGCTTTAATAAATATCATATTGGTTTTAGGTGACAATTTTTTAAAATTTATTTACTTTTTCTTATATAATGATGAAACAAATGGACGTAAATTTGCCTAGAAATCCAGGGGCTGTTGGGGTTGGTTCTGCAACGTCCTGTAAAGGATACGCAACTAACATATATTATGATGACTTTATTGTGTGAGGCTTCTGATATTTGTTAGAATCGAATTCCCAATGTTTCATTGTTAAGGTTTTCTTGTGTCTCATTTTGTTTTTGTTTGTGAAAATAATGAATGTTTTACAACAGGGAAATTCAGCTGGTGGCCCACAGGCTGAACCTGGCACACAGAGGCCTAGCAAATGACACACGGATCACTGCCAGTTGTTTAATGATTTTTTTACGCTGGGGCTCTTGCCCATGCTGATCCCCACTTTTAACATGTTGGCCGCTGAGTAAACCTAGTTGAATAGCCTCGCTTTGATACATTTAACGACTTACTTTGCTTAAAATGATTTGAGGCTCTAAAGTTGACCTGTTACTCTGGAACCAAAATTTGAAAAATGGGAATCTTCACAGTCCAGAAGCCTGGGCTTCAGCATAGTAAAATCATCAGTACATTACAACTGGCAGTGATCTGCTGGCCACTTGCTTGGCCTCCATGGGCCAGATTTGTTTCTCGGGTCACCAGTTGAATAGCCCTCTTATAAAACATGAATAGTTCCTTTATTGTGAGAAAATTTATGTTGTTAGGTGTATGGTATTTCTTACGCTTTACATTTGGTTTTTCTAATGGTCTCATTTTAATTTCATCTGTGGAAGATGACGAATGTTGTAGAAAATATAATGATTGTTACTTTATCTTTAAAAGAAGAGTTGGTTCTATCCCAATATCTCACTCCAAACAGACAGGCAAATTAGTGGTAGATAGGCTGCATGCAGTCGTGGGGCCTAGGCTGCACTCTCTTGTGGGAAAAAGGTGGGTTGGGGTTAGGCCAGCTCAGTATGTTTTGGGGTAGTTAAAAGCATCAGAACGCCAGGAAACCTGCTCTTGCCACCCTCTAAGATATTGGACTGTCCTGTAATGTCATCCTTGGGGGAAGGGGGGGGGGGTGAATATTGGGAAAGCACCGAAGAGTTTATTCTGTAAGGAATGTGATGTTTCCTATTTGCTGAGAAAATTTATGTTGTTGGACATATGGCTTTTGTTTTCAGTTTAAGGTAAAGTGAATCAGATACATTTTACACTTCTTGCATTCTTACTCAGTCTTAAGTTCCTTTTCTAGAAATAAATGTGAATGAGTGCGCACTTAGATATCAGTGAAAAATGCTCCCATTCCATGGAACTGTTGAGCGAGATCTAACTATATACACACTGCATAAATAGTCTCAGCTGTCATTTCAGATTGCTTACACATGCATTCAGGATCTTCTGTATTTCTGTCATGAGCTTCACCTTTAGAAAAAAAAAAAACTTTAATCTTTTGTGTTCCTCACTATCTTTTATCTCTCAGTCAACGCACACCACCCTATGTGGGTTCCAAGGCCCCAATTTGGGAGGGCAAATAAAACCCACTGCCCCATAATCATGTCCTAAAGGGTGACTAATTAGGGCTTTGCTAAAATCGGCCCCCATGTGGGCGCTGGGGCCCCATAGTGGCAAAGCAAGAATAGACCCACTGCTTCCCCAGCAAGCATGTTGTAAGAGTCAACTATTGGGGGCTTGTTTCAAAGCCAGAGTGTATCTACCCAAAAAGCAAAAAACCTACAGGCTGCATACAAGTATGTCGAACCTATAAAACGGATGTGCATGTTAACACTCATGTTCTGGAACAAAACTAAAGCCCAGAGACGGATAAACAACTAAAACTTTACACCTAGCGAACAAGAAGCAGCTGAAATCATATGTGTTCAATTGAAAGACGCACATATGCAGGCAAGCTGTAAACCACAACACAAAGTGCCTCCCATCCTTATAAGGGTAAATGAAGAAGAAACTTCCATGCCTTTAGGTGTATATGGCTAGACCTATATTTTTTTATAAACCTATTTGCTCAAGATGGGTCATGTGGTCAGTATCACGCCGGCCACCTACACTTCCCAGGAGTGCACCCGGTACCCACTCAAGGCTGGGTTGACCTGGGAGCCAAGGTCATTTTTGAAAAAAGACCAGCTCTGCCTGGCAGCGAACTCACGACCTTCCCATCCGCAGCGAGCGTCTAGCTGCTCCACCATCTCGACTCCCGGTGGGGAATAAGTAAAATTTAAACAAATATTTTATCTTTCTTCAGACACAAACGAGTGCCGGTGCTGTGACCCTGGTGGCTCATACTCTCGTTGATGTGTACACAAAGCTGTTCACACACATCTCCTCCACAAGTGTTATTTCCAGTTGTCTGGCGATTCTTGCAAGCCCCCTGGCAAGACTGTATCAGCCAAACACAAAATTAAACAGTGTGAAATTGTTTGTTCCTTCATTTGTCACTAAGGTAAACAATGCTGAAGGTTAAATCATTTTAAGTTGTTTAATAAATCAGATATATGTATGACATTATAGTTGTTTTTACAGCATATTTTTTCAGTATTCGTTTCAGTCAGAATTAGTAAAAACAACATATTTTTGGGGCATTTAACAGGGTTCGTAGTGGACCGGGAAATCGGGAAATTACCGGAATTTTTTTCGTTGACCTTGAACCTTGATTTTTAGCTTATAAAAGACATTCCGACCTTGAAAAGCCGTGAATTTTGACCGCGGCAATGAAATCGTCAGAAATCCTGTGTTTTTCAGCACAGGCAATTTTGGGGGAGCCATTTGGCTTTTTTGGCCATTTGGCTAGTTTTTGGCTACTTTCGTTGTATGTTCGTTTCAGGTGTGAGGGCAGCTGATTATTGGCTATTTTCAGCCGGAATGGCTTGTTAAAGGCCAGGGGAGGGCGGGCTGTGTTGCAGATCATGAATACATGCAGTCAGCAGCGGTGTGGCATGGGGCGGGAAGTAGCAGATTCCGTCTCGCGCGCGCGTGTGTGTGCCTTTGTTTCTAGCGAGTCGGGCAAAATAAACAGTATAAATTGTTTATGGCCGTGGTTTCTAGAAAGGATTACATTGGGAGATGGTGGGGCTTGGTTCAGTTGTATTTATAAATAGAGTCGCCGTGGTGGGAGCTAAGCACAGCCTTCTCTATTAATTAGAGATGGCATTGGGGCTAAGCAAAGTGACTGCAGCTGGATTTCCCAGTTCTATTTTTGGCCTGGATTTATCTTTACAGTGTGTTTGGCGATCAGTATTGTAATTCCCCGAGATTCCCTCTTTTGTTGTCTCACCCCTCTCTCTCTCTTCCCTCCCTCTTTCACTCTTCTACCTATTGCTCCTTCCTTCCCGTCTCCTGCATTGTATCTAACCCTCCCTTCTGATCTTCATCTTCTTCTCTTTCTCTCTATCTTTCCTTTTACTCTCTCATTTCCTGTCCCCCCTCCCCCTTTTTCCTATTTTATTTCTTGTTTAAATGTTTAGTAAATGTGCGGCTCCATAACTCTTCCTAGCAACTCAAGTACACAGGAAGTTGGGGGGGGGGGGGGGGGGGGGGCATTCTGTGTCAACATGGTGGATATTTTCTTTTGATGTGTTTTCCTAGCGGCCTTAATCTCTGTCCATCTCCCTTCCCACCCCCTCACATTTTGTCCTACCTGTTCCTCACTCTCTGCCTGTCTGTGTCACTGCTTTCCTCTCTCTCTTTCTCTTTGTATTTGCCACTCTCCCTCACTCCCTCCCTCTCTCTCTCTCTTTCTTTCTCCATACCTTCAGTTGGTGTAGAAGGTTATGTGTTGCCTAGTGCAGAACATTTCATGTCCACCATTCCCCCCTCCCACACATTAAATATATGTGTACTTTTAAAAACACATTTGCCGTCACCCCCCCCCCCTCCTTTTTATCCTCCCACATTGATGACACCTAGGGAAGGGAGTGCACCCCTTCCTGCTACCTTCTTTCCTCTATATCTCATCTTATTTCTTACTCCCTTCTTTCTCTCCCTGTCTCATTCCCACTTTATTTTCTCAAACTTTATTCTCTCACCTCCTCTGTCTCACCCTTACCACCTCAGCCTTTTACACCACTTTCCACCACCCCCTCTCTCCCCTCCTTTCTGTAATTGGAAAACCAGAAATAAAACGAAGTCCACTGCTGCCCTGACCTATTTATGTGTCTGACCTATTTATGTGTGTGGGTAAACTTCTCTATTTTCCACCAGTGGTGGGTTGGGATGCCCTGAACTTTTTTTTTCTTTATAAAATGACCTTGGCTCTCAGGTCACCAGCCTTAAGTGTAAGAAATTGAATTATTGTTGTCACACACAGATAGGACAAGCAAGGGGCAGTAGGGGTTAGCACTGTTGTTTTTCGACCACGGCCACATTCACATTGGGAGAGGGTAGGAACCTGAAAAGTGGCCTCACTTAGAGATTTCCTAATTCTATTTTTGGCACTCATTGTTCTTACCCCCCCCCCACCCCCCCACCCCCCACCCCCCCCCCCCCCCCCCCCCCCCCCCCCCCCCCCCCCCCCCCCCCCACCCCCCCCCCCCCCACCCACAACAGTGTCTTACCTTTCTTCTCTCACCCCTTCTCTTTCCTTTGATCTTCTACTATTCTCCTTTCTCTCTCCATTCTTCCTCTCTTCCTTTCCTTGCCCTTTCTCCTGTCCCATCTCTTCTTTGTCTCCTCTCCATCCTGTATTTTCATTTTCTCTAGATTTCCTTACCCGCTCCCCTCTCTCATTCTCTCTCCCCCCCCCCCCTCCCCATTTTTTTACTGGTTCATCTACGTATTTATTTGCCCCATAACTATCTTTTCCTTGTGGTTGTGTCCACTACACTAGAAATTGTGGGGGGGAAGGGGGGGGGAGTAGGTGGCTGTTTTTTTTCTTTGATGTATCTTGTCTCCCTTCCTGCCCCTCTCTATTAATCTGTGTTTGTCACTGCCTTCCTTACCCACCTCTCTCTCTCTCTCTCTTGCTTTATGTCTGTTTGCCTCCCTTCATCACTTCCTCTTTGTATACCTCCCTCCCATTCTCCTGCTCTGCCTTTTTTCTCTTTCTTTGGTTCTCTCCCTCTGTCTGCTTGCCTCTCTGTGCTGTCCCTTTGTCTCTCTCCTTTATGTCTACATCTCTCTCTGCTTGCATCTGCTTTTCATCCTGTCCGTTCTCTCTCCCTCTGTCTCCCTTCTTTCAACTCTTTGTCATTTTTTCCTCCTTCCATATCTCTGTTTCGTTCCCTTTTTCCTTCTCTTTTCATCTGCCGATCTCTGTATCTGCATTCCCTCTTTCTGTATTTGTCTCCCTCTATGTCTTTCGCTGTCCCTTCCCCACTTTTCCTCATCATGTCTCCATCCCTCCCTCTCATTTTTTCCTCCTTCCCCAGACTTCTTTTCCTTCTTTTCTCTACCTTCATCTGTCCATCTTTACACTGTCTCTCCCAGCCTACCTCAGCATGTCTTCCTCTCTCTTCATGACTCTCTCTCTCCCCCCTAACCCTCTCAGGTACCAGGTCCAGAACAGACAGGACTTCAGTTTGCTGCCCTCTGCCACCAAGCCTTAAAAAAAATTTCAAACACTATATCAAGCTCAGGGGCCGACCAACACGAAGATGGGCACAGGATATAAGTGACTCCTTGAGTATAAAAAAGTACATGAGGCGGGAGAGCTGGTGAGAGACCGAGGTTTTTTTTGTCAGGACAAAGGAAATGCTACATGATGATAATATATGTGCTGGTATACCAACACATGTGGCACAAATGAAGTACCTTGTGTGCTCAGTACACCCTTGAACAAGGCAAAAATCTTGTTTCAGTATTACACCGAGACAACCTTGAAAAAAACTAAGGAGACCTTGAAAAGCCTTGAAATTGATTGGTAAATTTGGCTATGAACCCTGATTTAAATTAAAAAAAAATGAGGAATACAGAAATTATCCTTTTGTGGCAAAAATACTAGACAAAAGAAGCTAAGGAAATCAGAAAAATGTATATGGAAAGCTTATAGCTGGACAATACGTAATTAAGCAACATCAAATTCATTAAAATATCAGAGGACAGAGAAGAATGGAGAGTCATGTTCGCAAGTGTCTACTCTGTTATGTACATATTAAGAAGAGGAATGTATAAGAAATTTGTTAGCAGTTATTTGAATAGTTTATTTAAAAATTTTTTTTTTCAATTAGCTAGTTAGAGATAAATCTTAAGTGTTTATGTAACATTGTTTCTTATACAGTACATTTTACTTGGCATCGTTTACAAGGAAGGATTCAGTGCATCTACTAATATAGTGCTTTTTTAGAATCATACCTGAGTATTTGAGCTCAGCTAGTTGACGGATTGTTGTGATTGCACATCGAACCATTCAATCCATAAGTGCTCAGATTCCCTAAATCTTGCAGCGTATAGTGGCAGTTCTGTGCTGGTTTGCTATTCTTCTCTGGCTTCCTTCATAGTGTTCTTGTCTGGTCTTATGCCTTTTCACTTGCTGTTCTTGTAGTCTGGTCAGAGTCATCACTTGCTTCTTGTGTTCAGTATCTTCAAGCCTCTAAGCTTGTTCATTTTCTTTAACCTCAGCATGCCCAGGCACAAAAATAAAACTGCTCTTTTGTCAACCACAACCACCTAAGAGACACAGCCACTCTTCGGGCCCAGCCCAACACTGTCTTCTTAAGCATACTCTTTAAGTGATTGAGAAAACATGCTAGAGTGAAGGTCTGTGTTTCCAGCCAGGTCATTGCTTTAGTTTATTTAGTCAATTTTTTAAAGCTGAAACAAACAGGCTATGTGATATAATTATTTGTTTGTAGAATAAAACTAATTGCTTAAAAAAAAATGTATTTGTTACTTCATGAATAAGAACTAAATAATTTAGCACATTGATATGCTTTTCATTTTTCAGCTTGAAAAATTATGGCAGGAGATTGCTCAGTGCATTACTGGACGTTACAATGGTCCTTACGATTCAGAGTTCTTAAACAACTTATCCCCACTGTTGGAGGCGACACTTGAACACTCCCGTCGGAACATCAGAAACCAAAGTCTTACCTTATGGAACACCACGTTTGGCCGTATGACTGGTCTTGAATATCCAAGCAGCTTAAAGTATGACCTTCTTTTGCATTAAAACAAAAATATTTGTCACCACAGCTAGGGTGCCCTGTTGATTAATTTCGACGTTAATTCTTCTCTCTATCTTGTGAAAACAATATCTTGTATCTATCTCTTCATGTGCTCACAATTTTTTTCCATGCCAAGACAAAAAATATTTGCCAGTTGTCACTTATCTTTTTCTTTACTCATTATGTAGGCAAACAAAAACTGCCTTTATCTCTGTGATAAATTATATCTGTGTCCTAATCTCGTTCCTGTCCCTCTAACCCTCCTGACCCAGGAAATACTAAAATTGGCATTTCGGGTACGTGCAGTGCCCTGGTAAATGCCCCTTAACTGGCGTGGCTACGGGGACTTGTTTACAAGAATCCTCGTTAATAGCATTGATTCTGTTTGTGCATACATAAATGTTTAATAGGTCCGCCAATGGCTGTAGTTACAAAGAATTAGCATATGTGAGTGTTTTCTTGTGATAAACCTAATAGAAATTACGACATCATGACTCCATGTTAGTCATAGTGGTCTTCGGCGGTCAGATCACGTGGTCAGAAATGATTCATGGAATTAAATATATTTAACCACAGGAAGATGTAATCCAGCTGATTATCTGCTGCATTTTTTTTTTAAAATCGATTATAATGTAATCTGTTCAAAATGCCATTAAAGATATTTTATATGGACTAGAAGTTACTCTGTGGTGTTTGCTACATTTTTCCATGTACATTTTAAATTTAACCCCTTTACCCTGAGGAGCCTGCAAAACCAACACTTCCATTTGGATCAGATTCCTCTTAAAAGTCGCATATTTAACTAATCTGTGGTGACCTATTTACCAGACACATAGTTGGTGTTATTGTCTGTTTCCATGCTTCGCAAATGTTTAGAGTAGGGCTTTTCAACTAAGTTTACTCAGGAGCCAGTTTTTTAAAAAATGGGAATAGTCATGGGCCAGAGACCTATGCCCCAGCAAATGAAGATCATTAATACAATACAGCTCACAATGATCTGTGGATCTTGCTATGCCTTCACAGGTCACCAGTTGAGAGGGTCAGGATATGAATACATTAACTAAAATAAGCACAGGGTGGGGAGGGGGTGTGTCCTCCTTTGAGCAAAAAGCTTTTTAAAAGCCAAGTTGAGGTCACATTTTCCCCTAAGCCTCAGTGGTAAAGGTCACTGTATGAATCATCTGATACATTTTTTTTCCAGAGCTTCAGGGGAGTGTATTCCATTTTATACTTTACGCTGTTGGTGTTTTTGTTACGAATTCATTAGTGGGCTATGTACACACAATAAAAAAAAAAAAACATTGTTTTTCAAAAGCAATTTTTTTCTGGAATTCTTTTTGAGCCATTTACTCTTGAATTTAACATCTATATTTAGTTCATTTGTTTAATTTTTTTTTAAAACAGGAACACAGTAATGAAGGTCAAAGAGACAAGGAATATTATTCTACCAGGGTGTTTTTCAAATGATGAAGCTGTTGTTGCTGAAACTACGATGTTACAAACTTGTAGGCCACATTCTAATTAATATTCTGAATGTGCATAATTTTATAATGCTTATCAAATTGTCTTCATCAGGGAGATTCACAGCTACCAGTTCCAGTTCTTCCCCTGTTGGCATCCCCTAAACGGCCGAAGGGAAGTCTTCTACACTTATCCCCAGGAAGACCACTCTCACCCAAACCTAGAGCATCTCCTGCTAAAGTTATCAGCCCAAAGGAAGTTCGCAAATTATTCTCCGGAACTCAGAAAAGAATTGACCTGGAATTATTCCCCAAAGAAGTAAGCATAACTTTATGTCATGAACCCATGGGAATTCCTAAAGAAGCAAGTATAACCTTATGTCATGAGCCGATGAGAATTCCCAAAGAAGTAAGTATAACCTTATGTCATGAGCCCATAGGAATTCCCACAGAAGCTACTGAGGGATTTTTAATGTAGCGATCGTCCCAGTTTTACATCATTGTCAGAGAAGGAATTTTGTCCAATCTACTGTTTCAAGAACAGGGGAGAGCCTTTTTTCTTATTTTGTTTAAAAAAAACAAATACCAAGTAGTCCATCAAAGTGAAATGAAACAGTTCTGCTCGAGTCAGATAAGGTCACAGTAGCTTCTGTGTTTTATTGGCGGTTAGATGAAGAAATAGAATGTTATATCTCCAACTTGAGGAGATTGTATGTGAAGCACAGTGATTTGGTATTTAAAAAAATTAACAGTACCCAGAGGCATTAACTTTCCTCCAGCTGGAGGAGTGAATCACATACCCGTGATCACTTCAGAGCAAGGTGTCAAAGAATGGAGTCTCCAGTGTCTACGCTGTGTTAGTAATTGGGATCATAGACAAACAGGCTGAATAATAATAATAATAAAAATATAAAATGAATGGAACGTACACACAAATTAATAGTATACTGAAGAAGATACACTAGCATTTCTCATCTCCATTTGGCTGATATTGTGTATCTATTATCTTCCAGTGGAAAAAAAATATGTAGTCTTGTTCTTTTTGTATGTGTAGTTCAAAGACAGAAACAAAACTCTAGTCTATTAGTCGGGTTCACTGAGATTTAAACTATGAATTATGCACAGCTACAAATCACGGCATCCGTGGCTTAGGCTTTGCTAGCCCGACTCGTAATCCAGCATACCGCGATCGAAACTCACTGCTGGCTGCGTGGATTTTTTTCATGGTATGGGGTGTTGCAGGTAGACCCAGCCTAAAATGGGTACCAGCTGTCCTGGGAAAGTAAAGACAGCCGGCGTAATGCTGACCACATTATCCACCGAGTGCTGATGGTCTGTAAAAATATGGGCGCTTTTCCCATTTGCCTGATACACCTAAAGGTGTGGAAAGGGATCTTTACTTTGCTTACTTACAAAGCTCTTATGCTTTAAAGTTGTGCATAATTCATATGGTTTAAATCTCATGCTTTTTTATAATCTTAAATTTAGTATTTAATAAACATTTCAGTCTTCATCTTGGCTAAGTTTACATTTCACTGAAGTTTGAGTGCATCTGCCTGAGTGATAGTCTGCATACAAATAAGCCAGTTTGTTAACTGGATGTGCCTGCAGAATTAAAGTTTTGGAACTAGACCAAAGTCCAGAAGTGGACGAACTACCAGAACTTTTACAGCCAGCGAATTCTATAAAGAAGAACAAGAATAACGTTACCTTGTTTAATGATTCATGGGAGACCTCAGAAATAATGCAGACTAAAATGTGAGAGCCAGAATTGTTGGCCAGAAAAAGAAAAGTAAAGTAAAGGTTGCTTTTCCATGCCTTTAGGCGTATAGGGCATATATGGCTAGACCTATATTTTTATAGACCAATCAGCACAAGATGGGTGATATGGTTAGCATAACGCCAGCCATCTTTACTTCCCAGGACTGCACCCGGTACCCACTCAAAGCTGGGTCGACCTGGGAGTCAAGGTAGTATTTGAAAATAGTCCGGCTCCGCCAGGGAGCAAACCCATGACCTTACGATCTGTGACCTAGCCAGATAAGAGCAGACATTTTTTGCTTTCCTGATACAGTATTTCCTGATAGTATTTGCTTGGTCTAAATGTAGGCTTCTACAAAAAGCTGTTCTCTTCGTTTCTTTTGTCATCTTATCACTAGTGGCGCCTAGATCATCAACAAATTTGTTACAAGTCTTCCTCTTGATTGCCGTTGTGTGCAGCTCACCCTGTGTACTCCCTGTGATGTGCGATCGGGTACAATAAAATGCGGCATCAAATAAATTACAATGACACCTTTAAACGACAGGTCAACAGCCTGACCTTGAAAGTCCGCACGGTCACATCGATCTCCTGTTCTGCAGTCTGAACAGGGCAATGTCCCTCTTTAATGATTCGGCCTGGAGAATCCCTGCTTTAAATATACCGGCTTCTTGCCGAGCGCAATAAAGAATGTATCAGCTTTCAGCTGAGGTTTCTAATGGAGTCCCGGGGTAGAGCGTCCTCAAGGATCCGCTGAGACACGACCACACGTCTGTCTCCTTCAGACTCGTAAAGATCGAGGCAGGAAAAGAAGCAAGATGAAGAACTTCAATTACATGATTTAATTCCCTTATATACGTGTTCTTGAGTTATTTACATTCTTTTTTGTAATGAGTGATAGCTAAACACCATGGAAAACATATGTCTAGCAAATAAATGTGAGAGATTTATCGCATGTACACACCATAATGGCAGGCATAGTTCTTTTAAAAGTGACAGGTCTGGATCAAACACTAAAAATTTAATTATGAAAACGAAATCTAATTGTATGCATACATAGTTTGATGCTTTATACAATAAACCTTTATGTGAACCAGTTGTAGCAACAGTTGTTATCTTTATAATGATAATACAGTATCTCATGGTTATCACCTTGTGCTTACAAATTAGCTTTTGGCCATTAATTAACTTATAACTGTCAGTAATATCAAGTGGTAATAGCAATGGAGACTGGCTGTTTAAGTGATGGCTGCATGCCCATGACATGCTATGTGGCTATTGGTCCCATAAGTCTGTGTTGGCTCTGATCCCACAAGTTAACTTCAGCTCAGGTCTGACTGAAGTATCAAGTCTACCTCGGTTTTGGTCTGACTGAAGTAACAAGTCCACTTCTAATCTGACTGAAGTAACAAGCCCATTTTTGGCTCTGAGCAGACTGAAGTAATAATTCTTCTACTTCAGCTATGATTTCACTGAAGTAAGAATTCTATATTTGCTCTGATGTCACTTAAGTAACAAGTTTATTTGGATTCAGGTCTGACTGAAGTAATAAATCACGTTTGGTTCTAGTCTGTTTGAAGTAACAAGTCTACGTCATTTCTTATCTGACTGAAGTAACAAGTCCATTTTTACTCTGGTCAGGCAATGATCTCACTGAAGTAACAAGTCCACTTTGACTAGTGGTCTGACTGAAGTAACAAGTCCACTTTGACTAGTGGTCTGTCTGAAGTAACAAGTCCACTTTGACTATTGATGTTACAATCTGAGGCTATATAGTCTTAATTGATGTTACAATCTGAGGCAATACACGGTCTTGATGTTACAATCTGAGGCAATACAGTGTCTTGATTGATGTTACAATCTGAGGCAATACACGGTCTTGATTGATGTTACAATCTGAGGCATTACACTGTCTTGATTGATGTTACAATCTGAGGCATTACACTGTCTTGATTGATGTTACAATCTGAGGCAATACACGGTCTTGATGTTACAATCTGAGGCAATACAGTGTCTTGATTGATGTTACAATCTGAGGCAATACACGGTCTTGATTGATGTTACAATCTGAGGCATTACACTGTCTTGATTGATGTTACAATCTGAGGCATTACACTGTCTTGATTGATGTTACAATCTGAGGCAATACACGGTCCTAATGGATGTTACAATCTGAGGCAATACACGGTCCTAATGGATGTCACAATCTGAAGCAATACAGTCCTAATTGATGTTACATATGCGGTCTTGATTGATGTTACAATCTGAGGCAATACACGGTCTTGATTGATGTTACAATCTGAGGCATTACACTGTCTTGATTGATGTACAATCTGAGGCAGTACACGGTCTTGATTGATGTTACAATCTGAGGCAGTACACAGTCTTATGTTACAATTTGAGGCAATAGAGTCTTGATTGATGTTACAATCTGAGGCAGTGCACGGTCTTGATTGTTATTACAGTCCGAGACAGTACACGGTCTAGAGTAATGGAACAGACTGAGGCAGTATGTGGTCTTGATTGAGACAATTCAGTCTTGATGGGTGTTACAGTAGGAGGCAATACATGGTCTTAACTGATGTTACAATTTGAGGCAATGCATGGTCATGATTGATTTTACAATCTGAGGCAATACGCAGTCTTGATTGATATTACAGTCTGAGGTAGTACATGGTCTTGATTGAGGATACAATCTGAGGCAGTACATGGTCTTGATTTTTGTTACATAACGGGTAACTTATATGTGACCCCATGACCTCTTTTACTTAGACTTATGGAGAAATTATTTTAGGTCAATCTGGCTATTTAAAAAGCCATTATGGTCGCAAGGAAACCCCCTCTAAATGCTATATTTAGTTTATATATTCACATTCAGGCCTCCTAAATACTACACAGGCACACATATAACCAGTGGCCTTCAACTTCGCAAAAGTGACGATTTAGCCTTTTTTAACGAAAGGGTTAAATTAACAAGTAAAAGTGCCATTTTAAAGTTTGTCTGCAGAGTGTTATTGCTGTATGATGCTTACTAATGCTTTTCATGTTTCTTCAGCAGTTTAGATGTGATTGTAGTACATTCCAGTGAATCCCCTGAGCAGGCAAACCAATCTCTAGTAAGTTGTTTCCTCTGGTTTAAAACTCCCTAGCAAAAGAAGTTGATGTTTCAGTTGGAAGAAACTGAAATATGAGAAGGCATATTCACATGGTTGCCACAGATGTTGAGGTGATTAATACTTGCAGCAACCACAGTACTTTTTTGCAGGTGGTATTCGTCACCTACCTAAGCAAATGGATGCTTTCCTGAATGCCTATGTCATTTTTTTGTCTGACCAATCCATGGTGCATAATTCTTTCAGACTGAATGCTTTGTTTAATTCTGCCACATGCTTTTGTAGTAAAGCCATTGGAACATGTTTCAGATGAACACTGCACTTTAATGCTTTTAATGATTTAATGTCTTTGAAAATATATATGGTTGTGAATCGTGGATGTCCCATGTGGGTTCCAGGGCCCCATTATGGGGAAAACAAGAAAAGACCCACTTCATCCCAAAAAAGCATGTCGAAGAAATGATTAATTAAGGCATCTTTTGAAGTCAGAGTTAATCTGCCTGAGAGGCGAGGAAGCAATTGTCTGTATATAGATAAGCAAAATCTGAAAAACAGATGTGCATGCAAAGCTCAGGTTCTGAAACAAGACCAAAGTTCAGAGGTGGACGAACAATCAGAACTTTCCCCCGGGAGTTTACCACCAGTGAACATGAAGAAGAATAAGAAGAATCCAAGCCAAACAATTTCCTGAGACCACAGTGATATGGTTTTAAAGAAAAAGGCTTCACATTCTTTAAACAGCCAAAATGAGTTTGACTTATATGAAACATCAGAAGGACACAGTCATAATTTTTTTGGGGCTATGTTATGAAAAGAAAGAAACTGGACATTATGTTGTCACATGTCAGGTTCACTCCTGTGAGTGAATCCTCTATGCCACCTCTACAGACGGTCAAAAAATATCATGCTCCCTCTGCATTAGGTTCACAAGAAAACCTCCTCTAAATGATTTTGTTTAGTAGTTATATCCTCACATCCTCATGGCTGGGTAGGTGCAAACAGAGCCAAATAACAAAAACCATGCGTCGCATAAAACACGTCACCATAGAAAATTCTGTAAAATGACTTTTACAGGAAATTGGACCAACTGGAAGTGTTGGTTTTGCAGTTTATTGAGGTGACAGGGTTAACACCAGTCCAACATTAAATAATATTCTCTAGGATAGAAAGAGAGAGGCGGTGACGAATACTGCTAATCGCTCAGCATCATATTTCTTTGACCTCTATCACTTCACTTCCTTTTTACAGGAACAGCTGTGTTATGATCTACTGGTGGCTTAAAGTTTGAAAATAATATAATCTTCTGCGCTCGCTCAAAATGGGCGGTTGACATGTTGTTTTGTGGTTTACAGCTAGACTGCAATAATTGCGGCTTGCGGTCCAACATATTCAGTTTAAGCAAATACCTATTAACTTGCCTTTTATGACCTGTTTCATTGGGTCCCCAAAACCCACACTGGAATGTGCAGAATATAAAAGTAATGGTTGTTATTGTTTGTCTTATTTCAGCTAAAGTCAGATCATAAAGGGGATCAAAGAGAGGATACAGACAGAGCACTGCCTGTCTCTGGAAATCTGCAACCTCCTGCATCAGCTTCATCTATAAGACGATCTGTTCGCATTCAGGGACTTCAGAACTCAAATATTTTTGACCTCATCTCTGACTCTGTGACGAATGATGAATATTCAAATCTGTTTAGTAAACCGGATTCCAATCAGATTGAAGATCCCAACACTAAAGCTGGAAACTCAGACAATTTGAAGAGAAATACAGAATCCAAGAATGAGGGCAATGACAATCTGAATCTGCAGATTTCTGAAGATACTAGTAATTTTACATCTGATGTGTGCGAAGCCAGTCGTGATACTACAAATGTTGGTAGACTGAAATTTCTGTCATCTTCTAGGGATGGCCAGAAAAATGTGGATTCACCATTTGTCATGTTCAGAACAAAGCAACCAGCAGAATGTCCTGTCAGCCTCAGTCAAAATACAGCTTCCATATCGTCACCAAGGAGAGTTTCCCTTAGGAAAGTACGTAGTCAGGACAACATTCCTCTTTCAAGATTAGTTAAAGGAGGAGAAGTTTCACAAGGAGCTGTGTCACCAAAGGATACTAAGTTGCCTCGTAGGGTTCCACTGAAGAAAGTTAATGAACAAGAATCTGAGCCTGCTCCTGAAAATTTCACTCATGAAACATTGCCCAAATCTGATGACTGTTCAGCATCTTGTAATGTGAATACAGCAGATCAGCCTACAGATTATTTTAGTATTGTTGCAGATGAGAATGATGATAGTGATTCTTGTGCTAATGTTTCTTGCACTCTTGTTGAGGACACACAGTCTCCATTTAAGTTAAAACAGCATGTTCAGGAGGTTGGTCACATGATAACAGAAACACCATTGAAAAGTGACAGTAGCACGTCACCCCCTGTAAGAGCTGCAAGTGCGAGAAAGCTTTTCACTGATAGTGACACAGCTAGCTTGACTCCCACACCCATAGTAAGCACTGATCAAGCAGTTGAAAGCAAAGCTGGAGATGTTGATACAAATGGAAAGTCATTGTTGTTTGAAACTATGGAGATGCCTTCATCTCAAGGCTTTGATATAGCTTGTGATAACAGCACCCATCACACGGATCACAAAGCCATTCAGCCTTCTAGCAGTGCTAGTGGAAATGAGTGTATAGAAGGTGCTGTGTGTGCATCAGAAGCACCTGATGCAATGCACCCTGGAAGTGAAAACCTGTTTTCAGGCACTGATGCATTCAGTGCTCCCATAGACATGATGATGCAAACAATGTCATCAGAAGTAGATCACTTGGAGACAGTTTCTGAAATGACCAACTCTGATGAAAGTCATAAAACTTCGTCTATGAGCACAGATGAGCACCAACAAAAAGAAACTGCCAGCTCAGAATCTGACTTTGTTTGTTTACAGCCAACTTTGGCAGATGATGCCCAGTCATGCACTCCTAACAAACGCAAGCAAGGAACTCCTAAAAGGATGAGTTTAATGAAAGGAAGTAGAACAAGTAGAAGACACAGACAAGTCAAGGGATCCCCGTGTTGTAAAGGCTTAAAACCATCCAGCAACAGCAAAAGTAAACCTGCTAAAAGTAATTCTTCAACATCTGTGACTTCTCAAAACTCAAGTACTGTAATAGAGTTGCCTTCGTCTGTTGGTGATGCCTTTGTCTTACTCTCTCCAGTAGAAACTGAAGATTCTGATGAAGTCTTTACTAAGATCAGTGATAATGGCAAAGCCTTGCAGGAGATTGGAGAAGTTACTCCTGATATAAAATCACCTAAAAGCAACCCAGAGAGAAGACACAGCGCTGTGAAAAGGATGGGGAAAAGAAAGTTGGAGAATACTGGCGTTAGTAAGCCGCTTGCACCGAATAAATTGAGAAGATTGGAATCTGCAGATTCTGATAATTCCAACAGTGCATGTGAAATAAAAAAACATGTTAGCAGTGGGGCAACAGTGAAAGCCAAATTAGCCTCACCAGTTGACAAGAAAAAATCAGTGCACAAAAACTTAAGTAAATTAGGCAAACGCAAGTATAACAAATTAGGCATTTTTCCAAGAGATGGCCAGTCTTCACCAACAATTAAAACAGAATCACAGGTAGACTCAGGTAGTAAGCACACTGATGATGAAGATGAGTTGCCTTTGTCTTATTTAAAGAAGTATAAAGAAAATGATTGTGGCGATACAAACGGAGATGGCAATAATCAAGTTGAAGGGAAATCTGCAGATATTGATATACAGAAATCAGATAGTGCAGACTCTGTGGTTTATTTGCAGGCAGATATATCAGTTATCGATGTTGATGTGAATAGAGCCCAGCAGCAAGCTCTGGTAGAATCTTCTGTGTTGTCTGATAGTGAAAATGTTGAATTGTCTGCAGAGCTTATGGAAAAGGGCAGCAGTGTGGAATGTAGTTCCTCACTGTCTCCAGCATCTGTGTCACAGAAGCTCCCACAGGCAGGACAGGTGATGATCAGTCCTGAGGCTGAATCTTATGAGCCAGAGATTAAAACTATACCAGTGATAGACAATCTTGTATGCATGGAGACGGTAGATGAGGGTATCACAGATGAAAAGACAGTGGACTGTAACCCCTTGGAAGATTCACAGAATTCAGAGAAAATTAGTTCAGAGGAATTGGTGATTTTGGATCAGCCACAGACGGAAGTGGAAGTAACAGTTGGTGATATCAAACAGACACACCTTGATGAGGACACAAGTGAGCTGCAAGACATGGCTAAGCTGCAAGACACGACCAAGGTCAACACAAGTGAGCTGCAAGATATTGCTAAGCTTCAAGACACGACCAAGATCTGCTCAGATTCACTGGACCCTGCAGAAGAAGATATTAGTGGCAGTTCCAGAGAGAAGGATTTTGGGACACAGGTCCAGCTTGCTAATCAAAGATCACCACAGAAGAGTGCTTGTGTTCACAGCTGGTCCCCAACGAGGTCTCCCAGCTGCAGCATTCTGAAGAAGGGCACAGAAACTCCTCCTGGAGGAAAGGTGAGTTTCTTCATTCGCCAAATATTATTTGTTTCTCCCCATGTGGGTTCCGAGGCCTCATTGTGGAGGAAAACAATAAGAGACACACTGGGAGCTTTCTTCGAAGTCAGAGTATTTCTGCCTGAGAGGAATGGAACCAACAGTCTGCACGCACCTGAGTGGACCTGTGAAACGGATGTGCACACAATACTTAGTTTTTAAAGCTGGGCTAAAGCCATGAAGTGGACGAAAACCAGAATTTTCTGCCATCGTCTACAGCCAGTGAGGGGTGGCCGAGTGGCTAGACGCTCGCCACGGATTGGAAGGTCGTGGGTTCGCTCCTTTACCTTTACTTTTTTTTTTTACTTACAGCCAGTGAACACGAAAAAGAAGTCAATTTTTTGTTTTGGACATAATTACGTTGTGCAGAGCTGTGATATTTGTACCAACTGGCTGACGAATTCAATTTCTTCAGACAGTTGTTGACTAGGATAGTCTTCCCTGGGTGAGTTATTCATTAGGAAGTGAAAAGCAGAGAGGTTTTCCAATGGTGAATATTTTTGTCTCCAATGGCAGTTAAAAGGACCTTTTTCCCACACCATTAGGCGCATTGGGGTTTAGTGCTAGACCTAAACTTTATGGGCCAATTGGCACTCAGGGGGGTATGTGATCAGCATCATGCTGGCTGTCTTTCCTTCCCAGGCTTGACCTAGTACCTATTTCAGGTTGGCTCGATGTAGATTTTAACCTTCAATCATGAACTGGCCTGCATGACAAGAGTTCCTTCCCTTCCCATTCATGCGGCGGGTCCTATGTTGGGGGATGGGGGGGGGGGGGGGGGGGTGTTGTATTATGAGATGGCTTTGTTCGGCGCTTGTTCACTGTATGTAATGTTTTCGGAAGGCTATGTTGTTGTGTGTCTCTAAGGTGCCGCAGGGAGAAGCGCCAAATGCGCGACTGTGAGTATCAAAACTGGGATGTTTTTGTGTTTCTACGTTCTTCGGCGGTAGCTTCCCCTCAGAAACAAAAGCCGCTGAAAAGGAGCGTAGCAATACAAAAACATCATAGTTTCCTTACTCCCGAACCGTCGTGCAAGTAGCACAATGTGGAAATTATTGCGCAAGTGAGTGGTGACAACACGAGAAAAGAAACAAGGTTTAAACCGTTGAAAATAAGAAATGCATGACATCCCCACAACATAGGACAGGCTGTGTGACCCAGTGTGATATGAATGGAAAGTAAAGAGACACCCGCCATGCGGGCGGGTTCATGATAAGTTACAACTTTAGAGATGCCATAGTCACAGTAGTTATCTGGGTATGTTAGCGAGTTAAACCCATTACAGGATGTTATATTATGTTAACATCAGTTCTCTTGAGAACATAATAATTCATGGCTATTTATATTGTCCTGCTGAAGCTGTCCTTTTGAAATGTTGATAGAATCGACGAGTGTCTTTTGCTGAGCCTGTTGTCAATGGAGAGAGTCCTGTAAGGGAGCGCTGTGGAGAGTTTGTTCCAACATCACCTTTGATATCAGCACAGATAAGTAGCCCAGGCCAGAAGGCTTCACTTATTAATAAGGTGAGACCATACAATCCTGGTATTAACCTCACTTTGTTATTCATTTAGCTCTTTCTGTCCCATGCATTGTACCATCTGTGATTGTTTTGCTGTCACCATATTTTTTAATTTTTTGTTTAGTCATGGCGAGACCTTGTCTCCAAGGAATGTGTACTCACAAAAGCAAAAATACCATCAGTGTACAGTCAGCTGAAGCAAAGACGTCTGCGTTGGCTGGGACATGTCTCCCACATGTAGGATGGACGTATCCCACAGGACCTCCTGTATCGTGAACTTGAAACAAGGAATAGACCTACAGGAAGGTCAACGCTCTGTTATAAAGACATGTGCAAACATGACCTGATAGATACCAACATAGGCACAGCGACTTTGGAAAGATCAGCTGCCGATCGACTACTATGGCAACAGAAAGTGAAAGACAGATTTTCACATTTTGAAAGAAACTAAACGCAGCGAGCTATAGAAAGGAGACACCAGAGAGAAAATCAGCCTCATAGCGAGAGAGTATCTACCTTTTTTGTGTACGCAGAAACTGCCACTCCTGCATCAGACTTTACAACCACAGCAGATGCTATTCCCAAAGCCAGCCACACATCTCCAGGGACTGAGGGATGCCATTATGTTTAGTCAACAGTGCTAAAGACCCATAATTTTTTTAATAGACAAATCGGCATTTGATAGGTGATGTGGCCAACATTGTGATGGCCTTCTTTACTTCCCATGTTTCCTGGTACCAGTTTTAGGCTGAGTTAACTTGTGAGTCAGGGTCATTTAAACTAAATCTAACTGCCCATTTGTACCTAAGACCTCTGGGTTGACAGGTAAAAATTCCAGCCTCTGTGCTACCAAGACTTCCTAATGTTCTGTAACATACTTTACCCGCGCGCGTGTATGTGTGTGTGTGTGTGTGTGTGAGAGAGAGAGAGACACACACACAGACAGAGAAAAAAAAAACCTAAAGTCAAAAGGAATTTGGCCAGAAGAGCACTGTGCAGGAAGCCAAAGAAGAAGAATTAACCAGTGCTTAACTGGTATCATCAGCTGCTACCCTGTGTGGTAATACTTTGGAGGAGGGGATCTGCACACTTACAGAGATAGGTAGGTAGTTGTACCCCACCAGGACATCACACAAGCGATAAACACCCGGTGACACAAAGTGCTACCATGCGGTTGAGGATCACCGGTGAAGAGGTCCCCGAAACCCCTTTCAGCCGTTAGGCCATACCTATGGCTAGGCCATACCTGTACCCCAGCTATATTCAGGGCCCCTGGCAAAAGCCAGGGTGAGGCTTCAAATAACAAACAATTGCATCCTACGAAGGGACGACTGAGTATGATTGCAATAGCCAATAGCACTTACAGACTGAATAGTTCGATGTGCATTGAGGATGATCTGTCAGCTGTTTGTGTGATGGAAATTAAAATTTTTTAAAGTAAGATAATTTTTTTCTATATTTTTAGCTTCAAGGAAGATCACCACGTTACAGAAACAGACTTGAATCATCAAAACGCCAGGTTTGTTGCTCAAATGTTTTACTCTGACTGAAACTTCTCCCATGGTTTACTAATTGTAATGAATCACAGTCTTTTGTTATGTCCTCTTCTCTTCTTTATCCCTTTTGTCCAGCCATTACTGGCTTTAAATTTACTCTGAGGAATTTCCATAATTTCTGATAGACACACTTGAAACTGTAACATTTCCACGTACACAGAAAGCAGATCTGCCCTCATTTTCTTAACATATTCCAGCAGATTGGTTTCTTTTTCTGGGTATTTCACCTTCTTGCCACAAAAGGATTTTTGACTTTGAATAATTATTTTTTTTTAAAGAGCATCTTCCTTTCCAATCCATCTTTAGATATTGTTTTCGCATCCACATCGAACTTCCTCTGAGCTGCTCAGTTTTCAGTTTCTTGTGCATCATAATGCACTACTTGTGCATCATAACGCACTACCTATGCATCATAATGCACTACTTGTGCATCATAACACACTACTTGTGCATCATACACACTACTTGTCTACATAACGTACTACTTGTACATCATAACACACTACTTGTGCATCATAATGCACTACTTGTTCATCATAGCGCACTACTTGTGCATCATAACGCACTACTTGCAACTTTAATTACAACTGTAACTTGTTTTTTCATGGCCCATCTTTCAATGTTTACAGGTACTAGAGTTTTTTCTTAAAATTATTGCTATACATATGTAAATATGGTAGTATATCCTCTGTCATACAGTTTAAACATGTCCTAACATGGTGACCAAGTCTGGCATATGGTTTAAATATATCCTAACATAGGGACCAAGTCTGGCATATGGTTTAAACATGTCCTAACATGGTAACCTAGTCTGGCATATGGTTTAAACATGTCCTTACATGGTGACCTAGTCTGGCATATGGTTTAAACATGTCCTAACATGGTGACCTAGTCTGGCATATGGTTTAAACATGTCCTAACATGGTAACCTAGTCTGGCATATGGTTTAAACATGTCCTAACATGGTGACCTAGTCTGGCATATGGTTTTTATATGTCCTAACATGGTGACCTAGTCTGGCATATGGTTTAAATACGTCCTAACATGGTGACCTAGTCTGCCAAATAGTTTAAATATGTCCTAACATGGTGACCTAGTCTGCCAAATAATTTGAATATGTCCTAACATGGTGACCTAGTCTGCCAAATAATTTAAATATGTCCTAACATAGAAATCTAGTCTGCAGTATCATGTTTAAGTGCCTTACCAGCTGGTTGTAGGCGTTCTTGCATCTCCACAGATCTCGATGTCTGCCATATAGTTTGAATATATCCAAACATTGACCTAGTCTGCCTTATAGTTTAAATATATCTTAACATTGACCTAGTCTGCGAATAAGTCTAAATATTTTCCAACAAATTCAGTCTGTCATATAGTTTTAATATTTTTTTCACACAGTATTATCAATTAGTCTGTTAGAATAGTCTCTCTCTCTTTTTCTATCTCCTTTTCTCTCCCCCTTCCCCCACTCTCTCTCTCTCTCTCTCTCTCTCTCTCTCTCTCTCTCTCTCTCTCTCTCTCTCTCTCTCTCTCTCTCTATATATATATATATATATATATATATATATATATATATTTTTTAACGTATCCAGAAACCATGAGTTGTAAACCCTTTGGCTCGGTACTATGGATATCGCAACCCTTCGGCCTTGATTCCATTATAGGTACCGTTAATCTGGGAGAAATGTGGCTTTTCTGCCTACCCCCGGGAGTGAACCCGGACCACAAGGAGTTCGTCACCCGGCCGCCGCGAAAGTCAGGTTTAACTAACTTCGCTAGAGAGCCGGGCTATATATATATATATATATATATATATATATATATATATATATATATATATATATATATATATATATATATATATATATATATATATATATATATATATATATATATATATGTGTGTGTGTGTGTGTGTGTGTGTGTGTGTGTTTGCGTGTATATTTCTAAATAGTATGTAGGATTTTCTATTCAGTATATGCATCAAATATCCTGACAGTTTGTATGTTCATCTGGTGGATTGCATTATGTATCCAGACAATTTGTAAGTAAAAGAATCATAGTGAGTATACATTGAGTATATCGTAAGGTTGTCAAATCATCTAGTCAGTATTCATTTTAATTTTTCTAACAGTTTGTATGGTTTTCTTATTGGTTTTTTCTTTCTTCTTTTGTTGTCTCACAGATACTAGGTTGTAGCCTTTTGTTTTGGTTTTCTGTATTTGTCTTTCACTCTTGGATCCTTGGGTGATGGATTTGTTCATCTTTTTACAGGTGTCAGCTGCACCACTTATCCATCTCTTGCATGGTCTTCCCCTCTGGTATACTCCATGATATTATCTCAGCAGTTGTAGGGTAGCCGGAATACTCCATGATATTATCTCAACAGTTGTAGGGTAGCCAGTATACTCCATGATATTATCTCAACAGTTGTAGGGTAGCCGGAATACTCCATGATATTATCTCAACAGTTGTAGGGTAGCCAGTATACTCCATGATATTATCTCAGCAGTTGTAGGGTAGCCGGAATACTCCATGATATTATCCCAACAGTTGTAGGGTAGCCAGTATACTCCATGATATTATCTCAACAGTTGTAGGGTAGCCGGAATACTCCATGATATTATCTCAACAGTTGTAGGGTAGCCGGAATACTCCATGATATTATCTCAGCAGTTGTAGGGTAGCCGAAATACTCCATGATATTATCTCAGCAGTTGTAGGGTAGCCGGAATACTCCATGATATTATCTCAACAGTTGTAGGGTAACCGAAATACTCCATGATATTATCTCAACAGTTGTAGGGTAGACGGAATACTCCATGATATTATCTCAACAGTTGTAGGGTAGCCAGAATACTCCATGATATTATCTCAACAGTTGTAGGGTAGCCAGAATACTCCATGATATTATCTCAACAGTTGTAGGGTAGCCGGAATACTCCATGATATTATCTCAACAGTTGTAGGGTAGCCAGAATACTCCATGATATTATCTCAACAGTTGTAGGGTAGCCGGAATACTTCATGATATTATTTCAACAGTTGTAGGGTAGCCGGTATACTCCATGATATTATCTTAACAGTTGTGGGGTAGCCGGAATACTCCATGATATTATCTTAACAGTTGTAGGGTAGCCAGAATACTCCATGATATTATCTCAGCAGTTGTAGGGTAGCCGGAATACTCCATGATATTATCTCAGCAGTTGTAGGGTAGCCGAAATACTCCATGATATTATCTCAGCAGTTGTAGGGTAGCCGGAATACTCCATGATATTATCTCAACAGTTGTAGGGTAACCGAAATACTCCATGATATTATCTCAACAGTTGTAGGGTAGACGGAATACTCCATGATATTATCTCAACAGTTGTAGGGTAGCCAGAATACTCCATGATATTATCTCAACAGTTGTAGGGTAGCCAGAATACTCCATGATATTATCTCAACAGTTGTAGGGTAGCCGGAATACTCCATGATATTATCTCAACAGTTGTAGGGTAGCCAGAATACTCCATGATATTATCTCAACAGTTGTAGGGTAGCCGGAATACTTCATGATATTATTTCAACAGTTGTAGGGTAGCCGGTATACTCCATGATATTATCTTAACAGTTGTGGGGTAGCCGGAATACTCCATGATATTATCTTAACAGTTGTAGGGTAGCCAGAATACTCCATGATATTATCTCAGCAGTTGTAGGGTAGCCGGAATACTCCATGATATTATCTCAACAGTTGTAGGGTAGCCAGTATACTCCATGATATTATCTCAACAGTTGTAGGGTAGCCAGTATACTCCATGATATTATCTCAACAGTTGTAGGGTAGCCGGAATACTCCATGATATTATCTCAACAGTTGTAGGGTAGCCGGAATACTCCATGATATTATCTCAACAGTTGTAGGGTAGCCGGAATACTCCATGATATTATCTCAGCAGTTGTAGGGTAGCCGAAATACTCCATGATATTATCTCAGCAGTTGTAGGGTAGCCGGAATACTCCATGATATTATCTCAACAGTTGTAGGGTAACCGAAATACTCCATGATATTATCTCAACAGTTGTAGGGTAGCCGGAATACTCCATGATATTATCTCAACAGTTGTAGGGTAACCGAAATACTCCATGATATTATCTCAACAGTTGTAGGGTAGCCGGAATACTCCATGATATTATCTCAACAGTTGTAGGGTAGCCGGAATACTCCATGATATTATCTCAGCAGTTGTAGGGTAGCCGGAATACTCCATGATATTATCTCAACAGTTGTAGGGTAACCGAAATACTCCATGATATTATCTCAACAGTTGTAGGGTAGCCAGAATACTCCATGATATTATCTCAACAGTTGTAGGGTAACCAAAATACTCTATGATATTATCTCAACAGTTGTAGGGTAGCCGGAATACTCCATGATATTATCTCAACAGTTGTAGGGTAGACGGAATACTCCATGATATTATCTCAGCAGTTGTAGGGTAGCCGGAATACTCCATGATATTATCTCAGCAGTTGTAGGGTAGCCGAAATACTCCATGATATTATCTCAACAGTTGTAGGGTAACCGAAATACTCCATGATATTATCTCAGCAGTTGTAGGGTAACCGAAATACTCCATGATATTATCTCAACAGTTGTAGGGTAGCCGGAATACTCCATGATATTATCTCAACAGTTGTAGGGTAGCCGGAATACTCCATGATATTATCTCAACAGTTGTAGGGTAGACGGAATACTCCATGATATTATCTCAGCAGTTGTAGGGTAGCCGGAATACTCCATGATATTATCTCAGCAGTTGTAGGGTAGCCGGAATACTCCATGATATTATCTTAACAGTTGTGGGGTAACCGGAATACTCCATGATATTATCTTAACAGTTGTATAGTAATATAGCTGATATACTACATAATATTATCTTAACAGTTGTAAAAGAGCCAGTATTTGAGTATACTTCATATTATCCCAGCAGCTGTAGGGTAACCGGTTTACTACATATTTGAACAATTAAATAAACAAATTAATATGGCCAAAACAAAATCACCATTCATGCATCACAGCATGTCATCCAAACTGGCAATATTTATCTATGATCTGGCAAAGTCATGAGAGTACCTGAGTCTTATTAAATCTTTCAGCAATAACATCTACTATACATTCGCTGATTTTATGTTCCTTAATTACTTTTGGTCCCATCTGTTCTACTAATATATTAACTAATTATGCTGCATTTGTTTTTCTAACCATTTGTGTTCTCTAACTGTGTTTTAACTCACAGTGATAAAGCGACTCAAACATTTGTACTCTGATACACAAGCACTGACGCTGAAAATATTTTAGTAACAATTGCATGGACAAGAGTTAAAGTTTATTTGTGAAGCAGCCTGCTTTCAACACAACATTCTGCAACTTTTGTTGGTGGCCTAGCACATTTCACATTAAAACTCTTCTATATGTAATGATTAGGTACAGTCTGGTTAAGAGTTGCCCATGTCCACTTCAGATTCACACAAATGATTCATATCAGTTTTGGTAGAAGAATGTATACTCCTCATTGATCCTGCTGTAGTGAATCAGAAGCCTATCTGTTTCAGACAAGTGTTAAAAAAAAAAAAAATTTGGAGAACATATGTTTATGCTGAAAACATTTAGAATCGCTTGATAGTCTATTTTTTATTTTTATTTTAAAGAAAAACATGCCTACAAAGAAATATTTATATCATGGTATTCTGTGCTCATGTTTGGACTGTTGAGAGTATTATGGAAGTCATGCAGTGTGCTGAAATTCTTCTTGTGCGATATATAGGAGCCTGGAAAGCTTGTGGAAAAATATCCCTATGCAGATAAGATTAATGAACTCAAATAAGATTAATGAAGTATTGGTAACATGTATTAATACTGTGGAGCCATAGTCCTTATCTGTCTTTCTCTCCCGCCCCCCTCAACCAACTTTCATCTTTCTCTTCTTCTTCTTCCTCTTTTTCTGCATTTGCTCTTAAAAGAATGATTAACATTGTATCGTGGGTTACAGCTAGGCTGTGATATCTGTGGCTTTCAGCCCAAACATACCAAAGTTAAGTAACCCTTGAAATTATCACCTTTTACGTCATGCTTGATAAGGAGTGGTGGGCTCCGGAGCCACACAGAAAGTTTACCTGCATGGCAACAGGCTTGGACCACTCCATCTGGTCCCTATCACTTGACCTGTCCAGCACGGGAAACCCTATGTCGACATAGATCTTACGGCCATTGGAACACACAGGCCACTCAACTGCACAATATGGAAACACATAAAAGGGGGAGGTTTAATTTGAGACTAACAGTGTCTGTATGAGTTTAAATTGTTTTCTTCACATTCCTGGCAGAAAGTTCTGCTGTTCATTCACTTCTGGACTTTAGCCCTTTTTTAGAACCTGAGCTTTGCATCCGCATACATTTTTACAAATCTGACTTATTTGTGTGCAGACTGTTGGTTTCTCACCTCTCAGGCAAATGCACTATGATTTCGAAGGAAACACCCCTGATTAGTCGACTCTTATGACCTGCTTGTTGGGGGGCAGTGGGTCTGTTCTTTTCCTTCCCCCACAATGGAGCCCCTGGAACCCACACGGGAAATCTGTAAATCATTTGTTTTTCTATGTCTTTCCACAGGAACCACCAAGTTCCCGCCTGATGAGGAGAATTGTCAGCCCACAGACACAGCTCTCATTCAGACCCACACAGGAGTCACAGCTGAACAACTCTGAACCCATCTTTCCAGATCTTGTCAACTGCACAAACCCATTAGATGATGTTCTTCCACAGTTGACCTCTTCTCTATGGTATGCTGTTACTGCTGTCTGTTATATTAGCAGTATGTACTATAATTTGACCTGGATTTAGAATTTGGGTGAACAGGCTTTAAACATGCAAACCTGAAGTGCATTGAATGTGACCAGACGAAAGTGAAGGGAATTAATCAAACGGTTGATGAGATGTTATGAGCCTGTGAAAATGATAATGTATTTAAAATTAGAATGTTCTGCATTAGTAATAATTTTAATAAACTCAGTTTATTTATCTGGTGTTAAAAAAATTGAATTATATATATATATATACACGCACGCACGCGCGCGCACGCACGCACGCACACACACACACACACACACACACACATATATTTTAATTTTTCTTCAAAGATGTGATAAACATAAGAAGAAGCAACATTTCTTTTTAAAAGACTACAACCCAATGTTTAAAAAATCAAAGCCAGCTTCAACCCACTAACAAAAATTTCTTCTGCGTTCATCCGAAGATGTAATTGCGCTGTGCCTGTTTACAGCATGGCTGCGATATCTGCGCCTTTTGGCCAACACATCTGACTTCTGCAGGCATTTATTGATCGGGCTAGCCTTCCCGGTTTAACAGATTTTAAAAAGTAAAAATAGCCTTGTTTAAACAAATTATATAAATAGTGAAGGTGGGGGAATTATAGAACAACCACCATATGTGTAAATTCTTTTGTGACACATCTACAGGAATATTTATTCTTTCTTTTTAGGTACCGAGGCCTGTGTCAGTTAATGAAAGGGCGCAATGTGAACACAATTGGGGACCTAAGTTCTTTGACTGAGGTTCAGATTGATCAGTTACCAATTCGGCATCCAAAAGTAGAGAGTGTGAGGTCTACGCTAACTGCTTATATGATGCAGCATGGACTTGGAAAGACAGTCAACAGCAGTGAGGATAGTTACAAAAGTCCACGCTCAAAGGGGTCTATTGTTGAGCAAGGTATGGTGTCAAAATGTGTGTAGAATTCACTCACTGACAAATACAAACAAAAACATTTCAAACAAGTCTTTTTCAGGGAACATTGGAAACTGAAGTAGAAAGAAAACAAATTAAATAAATTTTAAAAAATGACAAAAATATCTTTCAAGTGTCAGGTAAGTTTTTATGGTCTTGTAGTTAGTTCAGCGTCCTGTCTTTGAAAGTTTATTCCATACACTTGGTTTGGTGAAAGTTTATTAACTATGATTTAGAAAAAGTTCAGTTTAACAGCTGTCAGGTTTAGAGAAAGTTGAGTTAGTAACTGGTTTAGGGAACGTTGAGTTAGTAACTGTCTGGATTAGAGAAGAGTTAGTCACTGTCTGGATTAGAGAAAGTTGAGTTAGTAACTGTGTGGTTTAGAGAAAGTTGAGTTAGTAACCGTGTGGTTTAGAGAAAGTTGAGTTAGTAACTGTGTGGTTTAGAGAAAGTTGAGTTATTAACACTGATTTATAATAAAAAAAATTTGAGTTGTAACTGGTTTCAATAAATTTTGTTGAGTACAGTCAATTATGGAGAACTAAAACAGTTACTAATAAACTACAAACATTCATTAATTGGTGCCTGTGCAGAATAGAGGGAATTAAAAATGGTATGATAAAATCACTAATGTTAAGCTTTGGGAGAGAACTAAACAGGTTTCAGTGATCAAAGAGGTGAAGAAAAGATGTTGGTGTTAGATAGGACAGTCATTGTGAAAATCTGAGAACAGTATACTAGAATGTCTTTGTACCGGAACTTACAGGGGCATAGAAATAAAGGCAGACCAAAAACACATGGAGATGGGAGCTACAGAATGAGGTTAAAAAAGATAGGGAGGATATAGGGTGAGTTGCATTCATTAGTGAAGAAGGATAGAACGACTTGGCCTGGGTTGGTTGAAGGCCTATACTCCATTGAGGGATAAACTTAGTCTTATTAAAGTTTCAACTTCACTGCAATCGGGTTTCCCCATACATGCTCTATTCCCATGCCAGGGAAAATCAAATGAAGTGTCCCTCACTGTCCCACTTGAAAAACTAGTGAAAAAACATTTAGTCCTGGAACAATCTAGGATAGATATTTTGCTATGGAGATTAGAAAGCAGTAGAAGTATAGCAGTCTGGTTTAGATACAGTTGAATAATAACTGGTTTAGATGAATTTATAATAACATTATTAAATTAACCATCCTATCTTTTGCTGTTCCACACAGCTCACCTCACATTCTCCCCACCTTGTTCACTTCGTCTCTAATGTTTTCCCCCCATGTGTTTTCCTGTTTCAAAACTAGTTGCCAAATTTTGATAAATACTTTCCATGTTTCCTAATATAGCACAATATGAAATAAAATTTTTACTAGTTATGTAAATTAGTAATGTGCTGTTCATTTCAATGAGTACTGTTTACTGAATCCAGAGGTTACACCGGCCAGCATTGATGATGATGAAGTACAAGTGCACCCAAGTGCTGACGAAGATTTGAAGCAGTTTTCTCCCATTCTAGGTAAGTTGTTGAAACAGATACACACTGCATCGAAGCCACCCGCATTAGACTTCATGTTAACTGTTTTGTGCTCCCCCAGTTACCTGCATACAGCGACATCACCCACTAAGTTCAAAAGTGGTCTATAAAATGTAAGGTTGGCATGACAGCCCAGTTCCTCTGCATTTATCTGACTGTCAAAGATGCCAGAAAGCTTCCTTGACTGACTCTGTCAGTCATCATCATCATCATCAATTTCCAATTCTGTCATTGAGCATCGTAGGGAGGAACAGATTCATTGCTTACTGGGCAGTAATGGCTACCATTCTGTATCGATGTAGAATCTCTTTAATGTTATCAATTCATGTTCTCTTAGGGCGGTCTCTTGCTTTTACTTAAGATATTTTCATGTGTAGCACCTGTGTTGGTAGTTGTTCTAGCTGCATTCTGCTGCTATTGTTTCTCAGCACATTTTCTGATGCCCATATTATACTGGGTTGGACAGGGAATGTAGATCAGATTACAAAATCCACTTCATGGGAATTAGATACTTAAATGCCCATGTGGGTTTTGATGCACCATTTGGAATTGGGGAGGAATCCAACAAGCATGTTGCAAATTGTGACTGATTAGGGGTTTAATGAAATCGAGGAACATGTAACGAACTCAGGCCCAGCTCACACTTATGAGTGACGAAGTCGGGCCAGGACACTGTGATTGGATATTCATTCATGCATGTTAACCTTTGAGAAGCGGAAGTTTAAACGGCAGGGATGTCAAGATGGTGCAACATTGTATTGTATCGATGGTTTTACCGGCGACCACGCGTGCTCTTACAGGTTATGAGCGGTATTCAATCAATCAATCAGGTGCCGTCTCCACAATGAAGGTTGGCTGCAATGGATCTTCAACAAGCTCTGTCTCTTGCCCTTGATGTACACTCACTCATACTGCTGTTCGTCCATCTCTTGATGTTATCCTCCCACTTGTAACGCTGTCTGCCTTTTGCTCGCCTACCTTGAACCTTTCCCTCTAGAATGATCGATCTTTACAATACTGTTATGTCTTTTAATGTGGCTAAAATATTTCACTTGTCTCTTTTTTTATTTCACCTAGCAACTCTCTTTTCATTCCAATTTCCTCAGTACCTCTGTATTTAATAGCTTTTGTTTCCATGAAATACAACCTAATCTTCTGTATATCCACATCTCCAAAGAATTGACATGATTTTCCAGTTGTTTGTTCATTGTCCATGTCTGTGTGCCATTCAGTAAGGTTGAGAATACATAACATTTGACAATTCTCATTGAGCGGTATTAACTACCCCATAACATGTACAACTGGCCCTAACTCCCCCCTTCACCCCATACATTGAACCTAGGTCCCACGAGAGAGTGCATTCTACACCCCTCTAACATAGACTAGCTTGACCAATCATCAATGACAGGTCAGCTAGTGTGTAGCTTGGTCTGAGTTCGTCACTAGTTACGAAATCGAATATGTTGGTCAGAAAGCACAGATATTGGAGCCTAACAAATAAAACCACAGCTAAAGAAGATGCTTAGATAGTATATTTGTATTGTCATTACATGATTGCAACCTTTTAAACATCATATATTAATTTACAGCCATGTTTCTTCTTTAAAAAAATATAGAATTGGAGCCCCCAAGGTTGTTGGCCACTCCTACAGAAATGGATGCTTGTAGCAGCAGTGATGCTGCTGCTGAGCCTAGTACCACTGAGGATTCATCACTGCAAAACCACAGCCCATCTCAGATGCTGTCAGATCTCAAGAATATGGCCAAAACTTGTTCAGCTTCAGTCTTGAAGCAAGCCAGTATTGCTGAATTGTTTGAAATTCATCAGACATTGAATGTGCTTTTCACAAATGTTGTAGAGGAGATGAAAACCAGGCAACCAATGGCATAGCAGTCAGGTTTACTTTTGAGGGTCCAGGATAGTAGTAGTTTTTAATTCATGATGCTTTGCATGGTGTTTAGGTCTTTAGTATGCTCACACCAAGCTATCCTATTCTTCTTCTGCTCCTCCTCCTCCTTCTTTGTCAACATTCTGAGCCCTTACTTTCATTGCTGCAGATATCACCCGACCTCTATTCATCTTGGTTATTGGCATTTTCTTTTCATTTCATGACTCAGTGTTTGTAAATCTGTGTTTTTGATCTCTCCACTGTCTTCTTTCTTGGTCTTTGTTATAGTCTACCCTTATTAAACCTTTTTTTATGTGAGCAGATTTTGTCACACTGTATTCTTCTCTCTTTATGATCCCCCAGGTTAGGGATTAAAGCGTGGGGTCGACACCCCTTTCTTTGTGCCAAGAAACATATCCTCTTCTTTGTTGACTTATATTATTTCCCATCTAATTTGACTTGTTTTAATTTGAATTCTCCATACACTGGGTATTTTTCAACCATGAAAGCATGGTAGTACATGGGCTAGATACTTACATGGCAACCCAGATGTCTTGGGTTCAGATCAGAACTGAGCAGATGTTATAATTGACTGGCTCCCCGGAAGGTCGTGGATTTGGGTCCTGACAGAGCCAGGGTTTTTCCAGAAATGACCCTGGCTCCCAGGTCAAACCAGCTTTGGGTGGGTACCAGGTGCAGTCCTTGGCAAGATGCTGACCTCACCGCCTACCAGATGTCAATTGGTCTATAATGGTCTATAAAACATAGATCTAGCCATCTATGCCCATTATGCCTAAAGACATGGAAAAAGGATCGTACTTTGCTTACTTTACTTTGGCTCCCATACAGACAGTCTAAAATAGGTGCAGGGAAATGTCCTTGGAAGTAAAGATGGTCAGCATGATTTAACCACCATAGGTGCAGATGGGCCTATTAAAACTGAGTCTAGCATAATGTCCAACACACAGCTGGCATGAAAAGGGTCCTTTACCTTGTAACATTGTGGCTTCCATGACAAGAACCATCTTATATGAGTTTCCACATTCTGACTTCTTCCTAGCATGTGTGTTTCCAGTTATGATGCTTCATGTGAATTCAGCTAGTTTTTTTTTAATATTCTTCAACACAGTGTTAGTGTAATATAAATCTTATCAACAATTTTTGTTTTCCATGGCTTTGTACTATGTAATGATTTGATTAAAAACTAGTTTCTGTACTGTCAGGTACACAGTATTTACATTTTTCTAAATACATTTTTTCTCTCTCTCTCTCTCTCTCTCTCTCTCTCTCTCTCTCTCTCTCTCTCTCTCTCTCTCTCTCTCTCTCTCTCTCTCTCTCTCTCTCTCTCTCTCTCTCTCTCTCTCTCTCTCTCCTCTCTCTCTCTCTCTCTCTCTCTCTCTCTCTCTCTCTCCCCCCCCTCCCTCCCTCCCCCCCCCCCTCCCTCCCTCCCTCCCTCCTAGTGGTTTCCGCATAAAAGGGCATTCTAATTAAATTATTATTTACGTTTTCTTAGTATGTCCCCTAACCAGCGCCAGGTTTTTAAAAAAATTTGCAATGGTATTTGATCATTCTATGCTATCAATGGTTACATAGGTTTTGAATTTGCTTATAATGTCTGGTGAAGCAAAAAATTTTCTGCTCTGTCAATGATAGAGGTCATCGGTGATATTGAAACAGTTGTGCAGGATAGAATGGAATGTAAGAATATACTATGAGCCCTATGTGATGGCACACAAGGATTATGACGATGATGAGAGGATTTTTACTGATTTAAACATCCACACCTGTACATTGTATGCAGGAATTTGTTGAAATTTTTTTCTGCCATCCCAGGTCAACCCAGCCTAAAATAGTACCAGCAGTGTTTAGGAAAGCAAAGGTGGCCGGCTTGATATTGGCCAAGGTCAACCTTTCCTCGTTGCCTTTTATGACATGCTTGGTAGGCTACACTGTTACGCTTCTGTGTTTCCTCAAGAACAAGTGGGCATTTTGGAGAAGAAAATAGTTATATTTCCTGTAGTTGTGATGTGGTATATTGTTTTATTTTATTTTTGTGTAATGCAATTGTTTTATTGAAATAATACTTACTTAGCCAATCCTCTTCTACCTTGGGGTGTAGAGATCGCCAGAGAGATCGTCAGACTTCTGTGTCTGCACTTTTCTTTTTGGCTTTGTTCCATTCCAGTCCTATGTCATTTATTGAAATAATCTGTAGATGAAGTGTTTTTTTGTTTGTTGTGTTTTTATGTTTATGTAATTAACATTGCTGTTTTTAAATAATGTCGTTTTGGGTTATAAACTTTTATTAATGCGTTAATGAAAAGTTTTTTTTTTTATTAATGAGCATATCGTTGTCACTATGTAAAGTCATCTGAGTGCCACATCCTTGTTTGAGAAAATCATGTTTGAACATCGAAATCTGAAAAAGTGTGTAGCCATATGAAGAATAATGATTCATTTTGGCATATGAAGGGTAAAGTCAAAAGCATCTACTTTATTGCACCGGTTTTATCCCATATGGCTTTGTCTCTCTCCGCAGAACAGCAAAAACGTCTGTCAAGAGTGCCACACAAAGAACGAACACCATAGCTCCAACAACGATACCCAGGAGTCTTTTTAAAAAAAAATGGCACGCATGAGCCGAACCACACAGCCGTGAAACAAACCCCTGACATTCAGAACATGAGGTGTATGGATTGACCGTGGAGACGCCTCATTTGTAGTGAGAATACACATGTGTACCATTGGCCTATTGTAGAGTGGCAAACAACAGCCCCAAGACCTCACTTAGGGGAAAATTACCAGAACTACATGACTTTGACTTGGGTTCAGACGATATGTTGTAGGCCTTAGTAATGTTTACATTTGTGGCTTGATTTCCCTGACGGAATTAGCATTTGAATGGCAGAGTTGACTTGGTCATCACCAGTCTAAGCTGGGCAGATATTTTAGCGACATTATCCTTTTTCTGTTTTTGAACCATCCCACTCTTCTGCTGTATACTACTTTTTTTAAGCACAGAGCACATTTTTATACTATATGGAACAAAATGAATGCAGAATTAATTACCTGCCTTTTTTAAGTTGAGTTGAGTTGATTCAAGAACCGACATCACAGCACTCTGGGCATTCCCATTAGCGCTCCGTCCCCATCTTCTGCAGCCAGTGAAGAGTTTCGATACTAATGATGCCAGTAGCATTCTGATTAAACGTCCGTCTTTCCTTTCCTCTGAGCTTTTTTTAAAGTAAGCGATTATTGTCTATGTGTCTCTCTCTTCCTCCTCCTCTTCTCCTTCTCCCTCTCCATCCACAGTCCTTTCAGTCTCATAGACCTTTCTTCAACCCCCAATATTTCTGGGGCATTTATAATTAAATTTACTTATTTATCTAGGTCACTTGTTTAATTTGAATATTTCTGAATGAATGGTGAAGATTTTCATCATAGCACTTCAGACAGATCCATATGTGCTCCACAAGCATAAAACAACTGATGACTTGACACTGGCAGTTGCAATTCTTTGAGAAAACAAATTAGAATGTTCAAGAAATACTGATGTAGAAAATGTTTTATTCTCTTTCTGTGGATATGCAATTACTTATGTTGTTATAATACATTTGTGGAAGACAATGCTTGATAGTATTAAATGTGTCTTGACAGTAAAAACTGCTGTCCTTATATTTATGTGTGTTGAAGCGTGCCTATGCACCAGGATCGAAAGAGGAGGAATGGTTAAACCTGTATTTATGAGTTTTAGAACAGGGGTCATGGATTCTGAACTTGTTTTACTTTTTTTTTTCATAAGGCAAGAGGAGCTTCCATAGCACTAGGGAATTTGTGGAGGTCAAAAGAAATTAACAGAAATACTAGACTAAAATTTTTTAATTCTAATGTCAAATCAGTACTTTGTATTGGGCGGAAACATGGAGAACTAAGGCAACTACTAATAAATTACAGACATTCATTAACTGGTGCCTGCACAGAATTAAATGGTATGGTAGAGTAACTAATGTAGAGCTTTGGGAGAGAACTAAACAGGCTCCAGTTGACCAAGAGGTGAGAAAAAGACGCTGGCGTTGGATAGAACACACACTGAGAAAACAGGAGAAGAGCATAACTAGAATGTCTTTGCATTGTAACCCACAGGGTCATGGAAATAAAGGATGGCCAAAAAAAAACATGGAGAAGAGAGCTGGAGAATGAAGTTAAAAAGATGAGAGCTCCATTGTCGCGTGCGAATGTGCACCAGAACGCACCAGTACGGAGTGAGCAAATAAGACGTCAAAACAATACGTAACGTTGTTATGATTTATTGTTGTAAAAGCAGTTGATGTTTATAGTCCGAAGGAGACGGACGTGGGAATCCTTGAGGACGCTTTACCCCGGGATCCCACGGAAGCAAACGTTATATAAAGTTGGATCCTTGAGGACGTTTTACCCCGGGACTCCAAGACCTCAGCAGGAAGCTGGTGAGCACTACATTCTCGGCAGCAAGCCGGTATACTTTCATTGCTTAATTCGGACTTGTCCGAGGACCAAGATGATTGTCATGATCTCAAGGTCGGACTGCGACCTATCGTAAGGACATATCCGTCCATGGATGTACGAGTGAGCTTTGGTTGAACGAGTTGATTATTGATTGCATATGTATTTCTCCTTGTATTGCTGATTGTATATATCAATACAACCGTTGGAACTTAACGCATAGCGTTCGAACTCTACCTTTTGAAAGCATTGAAGTAACTACTGTTTTACCCCTACTTGGCCTATTTCATCTTGATACCACACACATCAGCATGAAGCTCTGCACGTCACAATGAAGGACCGCACGTATCATCCATGTAATGGCAATGGATAGAACGACTTGGCGTGAGTTGGTTGAGGGCCTATGCTCCATTGGGGGACAGAAAGGCAGAAGAAGAAGACATACACTCATGGCAGATGCCTTCGTGCAGCAGCCAGAGGCTCGCCTGTGGATCAGAAGGCCCTGGTTCAGATCCTGATG